CGGATGGCCCACCAATCATCAATAAGCCTCTTCGGATAATATAATATTAGAACAAGATATTTGAAGGCAATGACCGAACACTGACCGATTGTTTATTTGGTTGCGTTTCGTTGTTGTTGTTTTTTTTTGTAGCCAGGAATCGAAGACAGAGGCATAGAGGGAAAGAGAGTTGGAATTTTTATTAGGCACACAATTTATGTTGATTATTTATCGGCTGTAGTATTCATCCTTTATTAAATTTTAGCTCCAATAGAGAATACAATATTAGCTTGGATTGACATGCATATAATCGTCGCTAAAATTCTGAACTTTCTACGTTTAATACATTTATGCTAATGTTATTGTAAGTGTGCGAATTATTGAATTATGTGCAATTCCTTTGAACTTAATTAATGAGTCACAGTGTAAAGTTATTTGATTATGCAGTTGAATTTGTGTGTATTAGCTAAATCGAAGCCAATAGTCGTTGTGTCTTTCGTTCGTTTCTTCTTCTTCTTTTTTGCTATCGTGACTTCGATTTTGCTGCGATTCCATTTTATTTTCTGCAATATTTCTTTTAATCGTCATATTTTGATTTTCATTTCATGTGTATTCATATCGGTTTGGTGGCTGCTTAACAATTGACTACAAAACTGTGTGGAGTATTTTACGAACTAATCGAAATTCCGTTTGCTTTACTACCGCTAGAATAATAATTATTCACATTATTTCTGCATGTAATGCCATTACCGTTAGCCATTGTTTTGATCGTGCCATTGTTGTTATTGTTACTATCGATGGCTATGGATGATGCGCTATTGTTGCTGTTATCATCGTTATCACCTTTATCGTCGTGTTTCTTACGTGGTTTCCTCTCCTGCACATAGGTTTTATAGTAGAAATCACCGAATAAGGCCAACATAAATAGATTTTGCGGCACCATAATGGCCACTGGAAATTTCGGGAATCCGCAGTCCGATTGAAATAGCAATGCCAACCAATGGACCATGATCAAGAAGAATTGAATCTGGAATGGAAAACAATGAAACGACCGAGAAAAAAAAAGAACAAAAAATTATGCGAAACAGTCGAACGAACGTCATCAACATATTAAAAACAAACAAAACAAAAGAGTCCAGGTTGTGGATGCGCGCGTTGCGCTCATAATACATAAACAATCGTTGCGTTGACGTCAAATAGGAGTGTCAAATGCTCAACTAATTGTCGCAATATTCTCGAACAACACCAAATTCTAATGAGATTATTCAGCGGTATTACATGTGCAAAACACTCTCAAATGTCAACAATCAACAAAAAGGAACATATTGTATACAAAGTAAAAATAGGAAACAGACACAAACGGAGCAACAGAAATTGTGTGCTCTGTCACAAAGTCCATCTTGTTTGTTGACGATAATCTGATTTACATTTAACACCACTGGTGGCTATTATCATTCCTACAACAATGGCCATAAGGTTGATTAATTCAAACCTGGGCCATACACGACAAAAAAATATACTTTCATACGATAGAAACATTCAAAATGACGATGATAATAAAAAGCAACCGTTTTAATAGATGCGATTAGTGAATGATGGATATAAATACAAATTTTGTTCGCGAACTGAGCGAGATTTATTTTTAGAATTCATGATTTTTTTGTTTCGTCGACATTCGAATAAAAAAACCGCAAAAATAATGGATAGATGCAATAAAATCGCACAAAAATTCACGCAAAAATTTATGTCCTTGTGTACATACTTAATGTATGCGGTGTTAAAATCGAATCGTATCATATGGATACCAGCGATTCTCATTCAGAGGCTAAGCACTTTATTTCTCCGTCGTAAAGCCGGTTTTTCCTGTTTAATTGTATTTTTTGTCGCATTCAGTTTCATTTTTTTCTGATGCAGCCGCCGCAGCAGCAAATTCTATTTTTCACCGGCCTAAAATGAATCGATTCCACTCTCGATGCTCGGTCATTTGAAGATGGGCGTGCAAGTAATTAAAGGCCGCCTGATAAGATGTCATGCAATAAATTGGCAAAGCCGCAGAACGTTCGGCCCGAATCAACATGAACTCAAGCGTATAAGATTCTTGGAAATTTGAGCATTTTAATTGTCCATTTGGGCTTAAGACTCTGTGGGGCCAATCACCACAAATTCAACAACAAAGCACTGAAATAGAGTGCACGACTAATTGATGCAACTAATGATTCAGATCGCCACCGAAAACAATATAATCACAGCAAAGCACAAAATAAATCGATGAAAACCGGTATTGATGTAAATTTATATGGGAAAAGGGTATATCAAGGGTTTGACGTCTTTTTCAAATGTTGTGCTATAAAAATGATTGAAATATGTGATTCTTTATCACGAGCGATTTATTCATTTGGAAAACGATATACTATTCTGGATTTGTTTGTCGGGGCATTCTAAAATAGAATCACAAGTATTATGACGCCAACAGACGGTTGAAACAGTCTATTTACGCGGAAAATTTTTGCAACAACGACAAAAGAAGATAAAAATAGCAACGACTATCAATTACATTGGCTTACTTTGTACGTTGTTTACTTCATTTTTAGTGACGCAATGTATATGCAATATGCGAGCACAATTGGTGCGAATGTTCGATAATCTACTGCGTTGATATGCATTGCACTAATCAACGGGAGGGAATTATTTGGTGGTAGAATACAGGTTATAGAACGATGTTCTGAAAACGAGGCACTTCTGTCTGTCGAAGCTCAGAAGTGAGCCCATTATTAAATATCATCAAACGAGCTTATTATTAAATATAATTGTTTTTTATCAGATGGCCATAGCACATCAATACTCTTTTTAATTTCATGGAGTTTACATTATTTGCAAATTTTTTGACTCCTCTTTTGCAGTTAATCTGAATTGGTTTGCCTGTGAGATTGTCTCTGACAATTGACTAGATGTTCGATAAATACTTACGATTTGAAGTTGGGTGATGTACTTTTTCCACCAGAGATTATTTTTATATTGCGGTTGGAAAGCGCTCACCAGGTAATAGGAGTACATTACAACATGGATAATGGAATTAATGAATCCAGTGAATATTGAGTGGCCGCCGGGATAGAATTTGGTTGCATTCCACGTCAGTATCACCATTCCGGTGTGATGGTACAAATGCAAGAATGAGATTTGCTTATCCTTTTTACGCAGCACAAAGAACACCGTGTCCAAGAGATCGACCACTTTCAGCAGAAAATATGTATGACATCCATTTGCGATTATCATTGGAACAGTGCCCGAGCTCCAGTCCACCGGTTCACATAAGAAACTGTATCCGTTTCTAAACTTGTACACATGCTGAAGCGCCTGAACAAGTCCCAGAAGAATAAAACAATTTTTTTTTTAAATAATTCCAAATAAATAACAACAAAACATCATCTAATAGTCAAAATAGAATTTGAAAAAAAAAATCCACTTCATCAACATAGCTCATTAGAATAAAAGAGATTGAGTTTACGCCAACGGAGTGAGTCGACGTAGGAATGTCATTTGAAAGGATTAGTAATTTGAACAAAAAAATAAATGAGATTTACTTGTGCAACTAGTCGAGCGCACGCTACAATTTGTATTATATTGTAAACGATGATTATTTTATTTATGTTGAATGGTTTGCGATTTTTCATGTATTCTGGTCCCCATTTCAGTATGAAGCATAGATAAACGGCAAGAATGGCAAACATTGTGAATGGATTCGACATGAACAACATGTCCCGAACTCTAGGATCTACAAGAAAACCAAAAACAAAAATAAAAAAACAACTTTGATATATTCATGAATGTTCATTTTTTTTTATCCGGAGATATTATGTCAATGAAAACATTGCGTACGCCCGCGCGATCTCCCAAAACATAAAGCAAATACGATCAACGTGTAATTATAAGTAGTTTAAGCTCACCGCTGATTTCATCGTTGAGATAAAAATAATAGTCGACAATTTTCTTGATCACCAAAGCCATTGTTATCGTTATATTCTCTATCACTTAACTAATTCTATTCGTTGTATACGCTCGTTTTTATTCACTTATTTTTGTTGTTCCTTTTTGTTTTGGGTGTGCTTTATTTTTTGTTTACGCGTTTCCAATAATGTGTGTGGTTTTTTTTTAAATCAAAATTTACCGCTAGAGAATTTGTTCGTGTCACGGTCAAAATTCAAAATTGGAATGTAAAAGAGGTTCAAAATGTTCGATTGAAACATTGATTGGTAGCACGGGACGACGTGAATAGCAAAAAGAAATCGTTTTAGTCGAAAATGGTTGAGTGTTTTATTGAGTGTCATGCGCCTGTTCACGTTCTAATCCATTGAATGAAATTGTTATGCTGTTGACTTCCACCGAATAGTCTCCACCACATAGACGTACGAACGATCAATATATAACTAACGTTGATTGCTTTTTCCATCAATTTTATTCTTTAATCGACCTTTTCTACCATTTCGTTCATTATTTTCCATTCGAAAAGAATTGCGCTGGTATGCTCGTTGAGTTGATTGTTGTGTGTTCCGCACTTCGGGCGCTTTCGTTTTAAATGCGACACTTCTGCGCTCAACTTCACCATTTTAGTGCTTAAATTTGGATGAGAATTTTTTTCGACACAACACACAGCGTGCTATTGTTCATAGCACGAAAAGGTTTAAATTATACATTTTGATTGAATTGCGCACCCATTAGATTATTATTGTGCAATTTTTCCACTGAAAAATATACAATTTATAGGTACGAGACATCGGACAAGAACTCGTGAACGAGAGCGTGCGCGCGCGCGGCAAAAGAGGTACGAAATAATTTAAAAACAATTCCATTATTCATTATCAGCACCGCGTTCCAATAATTCGATGTGTATTTATAACAAAGAGTTCAGTTGTCACAAAAGTTGCAATATAATGCTCTTTCTCCAGTTTTGTTTTCGGCTTCAAATATCGTATGTCGTCGATCAAGTCATACATGAATCGTACTTTCTTTCTATTTCTAATTAAGCGCCGCATAGCGCATACCGTAACACAAATTTCATTCTTCCAATAAACGAACCAAATGCGGTCGGATTGAAGGTGTGCATGTGTATAAGGAGGGTAAGTGAGAGAACGTTTGGAGGAGAGAAATAACAACTTCGGCTACGACCGATGAACTAAAAGAGCGCAACGAATTGTTATTGTAACGACAACATTTTCTCTACATGGTTTTCCAAAATTTTACCATTTTATCCTGTTTTTACTTGGAATTAAAATTTTTTTGTTGGTTTTTCGTTTAAGATTAAAAAAAAATAAGTAGAAAATTCCAAAATTTATCTCATTCTAACCACCCAAAAATTGCTGTGTTTTTTTTTAATTTAGTACATTCAAGCATTTCTATCATAAACGGTGATAAACATTTCTCATTAAATGAAATCAATTTGACACTTTTTGTGTGGTACCCATTACAATTCAGCACAAATTGTGTGCGATTACTAAAACAATTCGAGAATGAATATCAATTAATGATAAGAGAATAATGAAATCAGTCAATGACAGATTGCTGAGGATATATGCTGAGCATAGAAACTTAGCAAGCTGAGATTAGGATATTTTGACTTTGTGACGTGCTATTCATACAAATTTATAATGGAGGGGGTATTCTAAACTCTTAGAACACATTTCCCATTCCACATAAATTTGCACGAATAGCAAGTCACAAAATCCAAACGTCCCAATCTCAGCTTGCTGAGTTCCTATGCTCAGCATATATCCTCAGCTATCTGTCATTGACTGAATGAAATGATTAAATATTTGACCAAAAAAAATCGGTGTTGATTGTTTTTGAATGTATATTTGGTACAATTACAAGCATGTGAGTGAAAAATGTGTAGTTATTGCAGTGATTTTGCTCCACAGTCTGGTACTTGAAATTGATTGTTGCATAATTCAACATTTTTTTTCAGGAAAAAAATTACTATTGATTCGGTGCACATTCATCCATCACATGAGAGAGTCTACTTCAAAAAATGTACTTTCATTGAATATTTACATCTAAAGTGTTTCATTCCCCCGATTGTGCCCCATCAAAAATTAAATCATCCCCGTCCAAATCTAGCCCAAATCATTCCGTCAATTCATGGTTGATATCTATTGTGGTAGTTGTGTGGTATTTTCTTCTCTCTTAATAAATATAACAATATTATAGGATTTTTTTTATCATAGTAAAATTGATTATGTGTTTTATCAGCAGAATAGCCTCATTCTATGTAATCTGGTTATTTGTCTCTAGAATGTGATGGCTGAATGTGGAATTTCACATTCGCCAACGGTAACCCGGTACATGGCCATTTCGCTGATTCCATGGTAATGAACGAAAGCGGCTGCAATCACTAGCACATGGAAAATTTGGTGGGATTGAAACTGAAATGGAAAATCCAAATGATTAGGATCATTGGAGAAGGTTGTAAATGTGGTGAACCATCTTACCCATAAATCGAATTTGCCTGGAAACCATCTTTCTGGGACGCGCAATGCATAGAACACAGCCCCAAGAATGTATAATAGTCCTAAAGGAGATTGATTGAATTTAGTACGTACAAACCATTTGAAAAACATCCGTTACACTCAATTTATCTTCGATGTATAATTTAAATGGTTTCAGAGCTTACCCATCAAAATCAACCATCCGAGGCTAGCTTGACTTATTTTATTGAACCAACCCTCCATTAATCCATAATGAATAGCCGGAATAATACCTGATAGACCAAAGCTTGCAAATACACCTAAATGGATAGAGGAAAGTATAGACAAAAAATTAGAAACAATTTTGTAAAAGAGTGCAATAGTCAAGCGAACCAGCTCGAACGGGTCTTAATGCGGGCTCGGAGAACTTATCGTAAAGCGACACAATGATGGACATTGCTCCTAACACCAGTACAACCGACAAATAAACCAATTTATGCTCGTAATGACAGTAGAAACCATAGTACAGCCACGGTACAAATGATCCCATAATAAGCATTGCGATGCCACAGTAGTCAAGTCTATTGGATTGAACAAAGAAAAATGATTAGAAAAATGGGCTTTCATTTTCAAATGTTCAAATTCGCGACAAGTTTCGGAATACAACATAAAGTTCATTTATTATTACTTTGAAAACAATTTTCCAACTGTTTCCGAGTGACAGCACAGTGTGTGAAAAACAAATGAACATCCAAGACATATAATTGCACCGAGAAAAAAGGCACCAAATACAATTTTTTCCTGTAGTTGTATTTCAATGGATGGTCGGGTTAGAAAATAAGCAGCTACGCCAATGAAGGCCACACATCCGAGCAAATGTGTCCATATATTGCCGGTTTCAGTGTGGATTCGGAACACCGATTTAAAACAGGCCCGAAATGATGGCAGGGGCGGTCTGTGGTTTCGATGCAAAAAATTATTGTCTTGCAGCCACTTCGGCAAATGACGATAGTGGCAAACTTTCCATGATGCTTCCCAAACCTATCAAAATCATCAACGACACATACATTGGTATTTTATTTTTTTTTAACTTTGATACATCAAGAGCCAACATGATTCGAAATATACGAATAAACTCACTTTACGGACGAATTCTTCGGCTTGTTCGGCAGCATTGTGAGCCAATGCTCCTAAATCAATTTCATCTGAAAGAACACCCGCTTTAAGTACTTCGGTCATCTGAAAGTATTTGTTTTTCAATTGAAAAATTATTTGAAATCACTTTGAATGAATGGACAAATAACTTAAGAACTTGTGATGTGAATGGGTCATATCCAAAATGAATATACTTCAATGAAAGTACTCGTGTCAAAATGTTATTAATAATCATGACTATGGATAAGAGATTTTGGACTTTAGACTGGTCAATAGACTGACTAAAAATGATTATCGCTAATGAATTAGACACGCCATGGTTAGCTACGATATTGTTACTTGGGTGAGTTGAAAAAAATTCAGTTAAAAGAAAATACAAACCTCAGCCTCCAAAAGTTGATTATCCTCGGGTGTCGATGGCAAAGGACATCCAACACCATCCTCCTCCTCTTCATCGTCCAATTCATCGACATCAGCAAGAAGATCGATGCTATCCGAAACCAGTGAATTCCATGGGTTCCGTTTACGAAGTACCGTTTCACTTGTACTGTCATGATCGCCTGTTGTCGTTGACATTGCTTCATCTAAAATCTCAGACATTCTGAAACAAGACCAATTGAAATGGATGTGAAAAAAAAACAATTTGCACAAGACAAATCAACGCAACTACGTGTATTGCCACACGTCAAATGAAATTTGGACAAATGCGTACAAATGACCGGAGAGACAAAGTCAGCGCAAACAGATTGTAGAATATCCACTGATATGGGATTGAATTGTTATCAATGTTGTGGCTTGCTGTTTTTTTTTTCTGTCGCCTTGAAAACATTAAACATTATTCCCGTACGTTTAAACTGACGTGATTAGAATAACGTGAAACGCGAAACTACAACACATGTTTATGCTTTTGATAAAAAATTTACGTTTCACAATCGAGACAAGCGAATACATGCGGTAATGATTCTTTCCATTCAAAGCACAATTAATTATTTAGCATTTCAATTGTACTGGATACTGCGACGTTAGCATACACAAAACGTTTAGGAAGCCAATCTCACAACGACACAATGACAATATGACAAATAGGAGAAGTGAAAGAAACCATTTTTTTTTTTATTAATTCACTCTTTAACAAGTGAAGAAAAAACAATTATTATGCACCTGTTTAATGGTTGAACAGCTAATTAAAATCGTAAAGAAAAACACGAAATGCAATTATGTCTCCTAGACTGAGTGTTTTTTTTCTTTTTAATTCGATGAGTCAATTGGAGTCAGGCATGTACAATAAAATCGATGAAAATCACGTTTTAGCTAACCCCATTCATAGTTACGCATCGCACAATACAATATGTCAATTTTGTCGAATGAAATATGAATAAAGTAAAATGTTTGCCATTTACATTACTCTTCCATTTTAGATGATACACTTACTTGCAAAGTTTTGTTGACGAAATCCCAACCGTAACAATTTTCTTTGACGTTCAATTTATTCCCAATTGAACGCAATTATATTGACACGGGCCACAGATCGAATGCTTGAATTTTAATGCCTACGTACTTCTAAACAAACTCCAATAAAATTTATGTGATACTTCTCTCTTCTTTCTCGTTTGACGTAATAATACATACACTTATTCTAATACAGAACACACTAGTCAGCTGTCACATTCATCTTATCATTTACTCTATGCCATGCACACATACACACACACACACACACAACCGAACGCAGAAGAGAAAAACAAAAAATGGCATTGAACACACTCAGTGTGGCCATATGACAGATTGAGTGTTGATGCACATACTATTTGAAAATTGAACCAAAACAAAGGTATCACCATTTCGGATAAACAGCTGTGTGTGTTTACGGTACATGCGCGTTATTCAAATTACACTATTCATGTTTTAAATTAAACGAATAGAGAAATTCCACCGTAGTCAATTTGATTTTAAATTGTAGACTCAGAATTTTTGTTTTTGTTGTTTGTGTTTTCTTTTTGTCATTGTTGAAGACAGGAAATTGAATAATCATTTTGAAATGTGGTGCATGTTATTTGAACTTGGCTTTGGACGGATGCAAACTTACATTTTAAATATGTGCATTGCGCAAACCAGTAATTCCTTTTGAATAGAAAAATTTCGCCGAAAAACGCCAAGTTTGGAATACAATTTTATTGTGACACAAGCAAACAACGACTATGCATTCAATAAGTATTGTTGGACTTTTTTTTCACATAGTTTTACTTGGGGCGTACAAATAATTCAATGACTATTTGGATATGATTTTTTATTTTATAAAAGTTGGAGAATAAATGAAAACGCCATTGTTTATTCTTTCAAAAAAAATAAAAATAAAAATAAAAACTGAAATCTTCTAGCGCGCGCTCATTCTCCCTCTCTTTTTCTCGTCCAAGAGTTTCATCGTTGCAATCAGGTATTTTGATCATTAGTAATAAGAATTAAGAGAAACCAAATGCGCACACCGTTCTATACGATAATTGATAGTCAGCCATCAGTGGTCAATATCCATTTAATGAGGAGAATAAGATGTTTATTGTGACGATGCAACTCTTTTTTAAGCGCGATCGCACACTTTTTCTCCGTCTCAATTGTGTGTTGTGTTTTGATGTGTTCGAGCCGTTTTGTAAGTACCTTGTACTGCCACTTCACGTACATACCTATCTTACATTTGCTGACTTACCAATAAACTTTTATTCATAATTGATTTCCATCCGCACTTGGACCGACTTTGGCGTTTAAAGAAGGTTTTCCTGTAAAGAATAATATTATGATTTGAATAAGGTTCATTATAAAAAATTGCTACTCTCCACCATTCAAGTGTACATTCTTTGAATCAACTCGAGAGAGCATCTGTAAGAGGCTTGTGGCTTTGTGACTTGTTTGCATCGACAAGAAGTCGACAGACCTTGTTGTTATACTCCGCTAAAATTGATTTCTGTAATTCGAGAAGAGGGAAATAAAATACACAACTGAGAATTCCAGCACACAATTAATGACAGCAGCAGAAAAGAAATACACTGAACTTGATGTGTTTTGCTTTTGAATTCAACGGTCGACACTTTTGCGCGATACACGAATATGATTTGTTTAATTCATCGCGATTAAAATCTCAATACTATTCGCTTAGTCCAATGCAATAGAAACCAAGTATGTTTCGCAATTGGCCCGTGGCGGCGGACATTGTTCGTCAAAGAGAATATATCGTCACATGCAATTTTGAAAAGTCAACGACGGACACAGTTCACCGTGGCATTTCTGTGGTATTTCCTGTGTGTCGCGCACAAAAAAGAACTGGCTGCACAAAGAAAGAAAGGAAATATGTGCTGTAATGCAACTGAAATTCAAGAAAATAAAACAGAATGATAAATCTGAATTGCCTTTTGAGGCATGATACCATTTAAATGTGGTGCGTCAGAATAAAACAATATTTTTTTTATATTCGATTTTAATTCACTTTAATTGTTCAATCAACAATATTTAATGCTTAAAATGTTCGTTTGTGTGTGTATCTCTTTTTGCAGACCGTTTACATTTACACTAATTTATATGCATGATTCTCTAGGTGTCTTTTGTCTTTTTTCTTTAGGTACATATACAAATTACATATGTCTATATATTTATATATATTCTAACAAACGCAACTTCTATTGCAGAGACAATATGAGGATAAAATGTTTCACTCCGTCAAGGTTGTTTGCATCGCAATCAATCGTTCTTATTACAATTATACTTAAAATTATCGGTAAATTGTTTGTTTCATTTTTTGTTATGTTTCTGTTTAAATCAAACAAAATTAAATTTTGTCAAGGCAAAAGCAAATGATTGTGTCCAATCTGCCGAAACTATTAACTGAGCATAAGATTAAGAATGGACGAATCAAAAATCCTAAACTGAATGTTAATTGGTTTTAACTGCCGGTATTTTTTATTTTATTCATATGAGTGTGCGCCTCGTCTTTTATTTATTGTTGTTGTTTAATAAATGATAATAAAATAAAGAAAGGTACCGATCGGCAGCATGCATGTGCACGGCATCGATGAACCATTTACTTTGCTCTTTTGATTTTTACAAGTTGAATATCGATTGCCGTGTCGTTTCTTTCAATGGTAGTAAAATTTACGGTTTCCAATTATTATTTTCTACAGTTCAACGTTACCAGACAGCAACCATGGGTTGCAAAACCAGTAAAAATTTTGAAGAATCACAAGAAAAAGGCACACAACTATGTGTAATTGAATAATTTTGTTCCATTTTACACAGCTGATTTATGCTTGCATCTTTTTCTTTCTTTCTTATATCTTCTGGTCGGTGTAACTCAGCCTCTGGCTGAAATACTGCATACTTAAGGTACATTACATGAGGATGTTATGTAGCATTCATTTGTAATACGATCCGTTCTTGACCATCAGCCACTCCATGACAATGACCAAACGACACGGTAAAAAGCATGATTTGTATTTTTTTTTTTTTTTTTCGTTCGTATATTCGTAGAAAATTATTTGAATTAAAAATGTTCTTGAGTTGATTTGTTTAGTTTGAAATGGTGTTTGGTAAAAATTATCTAAATATTTTTTTTGTTTTGTCTCTAAATATCTAATTGGTTTTCTTAAATTTAACATTCAGTGCTTCCTTGGTCTTTTCACCAATTGAATTGTTTAATTTGTCTACGGAAGCGAAACCGTTGGTGTATTTGTAGCCGTTTAGATCGACTTTGTTGAGTTCACTCTTTGATGAATGCTTTTTGTTGTATGAACGAATATAGAACGATGAAAACATATAGGTGAAAATGCCAGCGTTCAATGTGAGCAGGGCACCAATTGATTTGGGGAAATCGCACGACGGTTGGAATTGAATTTGAATGGTGTGAACGAATACAATCAAAAATTGAACCTGTAACACGAGAGGGAAATATTGAAAATAATTGCATTTTTTTAATCAATTTTAAATGGCAAGCCCCTTCAATTATTTAATTATTCAATTGATAATTTCGATAATTATGGAAATATCGTTGAAGGAAGCAAAGCAGACGAATGATGATGATTCGCATGTAAAAAACATGCATGATTCAATCGATAAGTGGGCAACGGTCAATCGATCGATCGATCGAACAAGCAATCACCATGCTATAATATATTCATCGATTGTATGCCCACATAGAAATATATGTGGAACCATTTTATTTTTTCGTTTTTTTAAATCACATTTTCGGAATTATTTCGCGATGACAAAATCGATGCCACAACGAAAAGTCACCGATAAATACATATATTATGTTATCGATGTGTGTAAGGTATGTAAGTAAAGGTCACTTACGATTTGAGCGACAGTCAAGTACCTCTTCCACCATAAATACTTTTGCATTTGTGGTCCGAGTGCTGAGAGCAAGTAGTAAGTGTACATTATCACGTGAATGAAACTGTAACAGAGAAAAAATTGTCGTAGAAAATGAGAGAAGCATGTGGTAAAATGAACGAAAAAAAAACAACCGAAATACATTCAATTCACAGCCATATCGAAAATACGTGTTACAACTTACCTATTTATGAGACCCAACAATGTTCCGTGTCCACCTAAATGAAGAAAGAGCACAAGTGTGCGACAAAGAAAGAGAATAAATACATGTGTTTTGATCAATGCACAGCAATTTGCATCAGAAACCAATAACCAGTCACGGTTTTATTTGAAATTTTAAACGACTAATGAAAATTGGTTTGCAGTGTTGCCCCAATGGCACGGCACAACAAGAGCGCAACACCGAAAGAAGAAAAGAAAAGCAAAACAGTCATACGTAATCGCGTGGCAATGACTTTTATGGTTTTGGAAAAAGAAGAAAAGAAAATAAAAAAAAGGAATGAAAGCGTGAAGTGCACGTTGCACACATCTCCATAAAAGCTGCCGTCGATGTCATTGCGCGCACAGCGATGTCAGTGTGATGAAATCTGTCGATGTCACTGTGCGTGGTTTATTGGTTTACTGGTCAATTGGCTGCAATGATAATAATGATGTCAGCTTACCAGCAAAGTACTTGATGCCGATAAAACCGCAGACTGGCATCAATGTGTGATGGTACATGTGCAATCCGGTGATTTGGCTTTGCTTTTTTCGCAGCACAAAGAATACGGTGTCCAATAGTTCGGTAATTTTACACATGTAATACAACCAAACGGCTCGTGCCATCTATTTAAATATTAATGGGTATATTTTTCTGATGAGAAACAATTTCAAAAGTGCAAAGTACATATTTGTGTTTCTGTATTTGGATTTTATCCATGTAGCTATAGGTATGTGGCCATGGTAACGTGCCATTTCTTATTCTATTGCTTTGATTCGTCGTCTAATTCGATAATTTCGATTCTTTTTCTTCTTTTTTTTTCTATTTGAATGCTAAATGGGCAGACCAATTCAAATTGATCATATACATACCCTCATGGCGACTGGATTTCGGCTGTAATCAACTGGTTGACAACTATAGTTGTAGTGTTTTCGCCATCCACCTTCAAGCCCCTGCGAATAAAATTCATTGACCAATATTTTGTATAAATTTATTCAAATTAATTCAAAGCCATCAAATCATATAATCGACTACTTTTTTCCTCACTTCCTTTTGCATGTGTGAAAAAGCAGACAACAATTTGGTGTTAGTATTTGTTTCTTCAAATTTTGAAAAAAAAAACAAGAAAAAAACGAAAAAAAACACGTGAAAGAAACTCCAGTATGTCACTCACAAATATGTGTGTATGTGTGTGTGTGTGTCTGCGTGTGCTTATAAAACGAAATAAAAGTTATTTCTCTTGAGTTTGGGATGTTGTAACATTTAAAGTAGAAACTAGTTGGAGTGACCTAGCTCGAAAATTACGCCATACTTTCTTACTAAAATAAACGGCGTCCAATGTGTGATCGAAGAGTTAAAATGAAAATGAAAACGAAAACAATGCACGAACACATTTTTTTCTGCTATATTTCCCATTCGACATTGATAAGTATCGCTCGAGAATTTCACATATTGGGAAATGACAAGTATAAACAGTATTTGGGAAACGTGTGTCTGTATGTGCACATTATTATAAAAACTGAATGGCATTGATATGGCAAACGAAGAGAAACACTTGACCGGTTGAATGTTCGAGAAATGTTTTCTTCATGGGGACGAAAATAGGGGTTTTAACTTAAGATGGATGAATCCATGTTGATTTTATGTTGGATCTGTGCAGACAATCAAACATATTATGTTGATTGATTGAAACGGGTTCTATGAAGTTTATCCGTATAACCGTATCTAAAATATGATCACGAAGAATGTCAACCGAAGCGATTGATTTCGAAAACTCACCTCAACTACCAAAACCACGCTCAGCAAAACTTGTATAGCATTGTAAACGAGAAGTGTGTTTTTTAGTTCGAATGGTTTTCTGTCTTTCATGTATTTTGGGCCAGCATACAAGCAGAAATATAAATAGCTGGCGAGAATGATGAGCAGTGGGCCAGGCGATCCGGATAGCAGCCATGGTTTTGTACGTGGATCTATGAAAAGGAATATGAAAAAAAAGTGTAAAACATTCATCAAAACTCTTGATCGATGCATGAATGAATGAGTGATGAATACATTGAATCGCTTTGATGCTCAAATCATTGCCGATTATTATTTATATTTTTCTTCTTCAAAATTTCACTGTTACATAATTGTGATAGCATCGTCATTTTTAAAAATACAGATGCTTTGCAACTATGTACTCTGATTGATTACTACTACCTGCCATCGACCGATATCAAATGATTACAAATTCCTTTATCCCCCACCCCCTCTCCCCAAAATAAAGCGTTAGACATCAAGTATTTCTATTTTAGATAAAGAAAATGATTTACAACTATTATAAAATGCGATGTGAATTTTGCAACACGTGACTCAGAATTTGGAAGCAACAAATTTAGCATGTTCCCTATTTACATCGGTTCTTAACACCAATTTTATTGTGATTGTGTCATTCGTCAATGCTACGCAGGCAATCGGATTGGAATATATTTACGAGAGAAAAAATAACATCGATCGTTCGACAGATAAGTAGCAATCAGAAGGTGAAATACGCTGCAAACCTGATTTTTTTGTTCAAACATTTACATTTAATAGTGTTCCAGTTTAAAAATAACAAAAATTAAAAATAAAAATCTCGCGTTTCGAGAAGTTGCACACCCAACCTTTAATTTACGTAAACAAAATACGGTTCGGTGATTTTCTGTCAGAAAGTTCATCTAAACTGCGGCAAATTGTTGATCATTAAGTGATATGCATAAAAAAAAAACTATCGCGTCCATTACGGTTGATATTGGATTGCCTATTTATTGACGCACGCGCTGATATGCCGCTGAACTTGTTCACTGAATGAGTCAAAGCTTAGAGGAAAAAGAGCAGCGCTCACTCGAAAGACATTGAATTTACGTGTGTTGACTCTTACCTTCATTTCTTACGAAAAAATCAACTATCGAATCAATGTATTTGTCAGTCATATTTGTGGTTCTGTTGATTTACCTGTTGAAGAGATAATAAGAAAAACATAAGCGGGCCAAATCGACCAAATTGCTTGGAAATATTCACGGCCGATGGCTGATAATTTCACAGTGAATACGCATCGATTAATCCAAAAGGTGATGATACACTTGGCGAAAAATCGATACCAATCTTTATGTGTTTTATATAAATGTGTGGAACCGTGGAAAAGGTATCGAAAAATACAAATGAATGCAAACAATCGGCAAAGAGAAAACACCACCAAGTTTTTGAATCGCAATAAATTATTGTATTTAATTTTCATTTCGGTGCTCAGCGATGGGTGTCTGATTTCGACTGCGTGAATTTTTGGGTTGCATTGCAACAGTCATTCTCCTTCAAACTCTGTCTCTTTCTTTTAATCAAAATTGTTATAGTCTACGCAAGCGGTCATTTCAATTGGTTGTGTTCCATTGATGTAGTCCCTGTCACGCATTTCTTCACCATACGTTCGCTACTACGCATTTCGAGAGAGTTAATTTTTTGATCAGTGTGATCTTTTTTCTCTCTCCCTTACTCACTCTCTCGTATTCCGTGACCGAATTTCATTTTGTGAATGGGCAGCGAACAGATTAACCATTATCCAACCGATTAGCTGCCGCTTTTTTCTTCATCTCCTCTACCACATTTTCCAAATATGCGAAAGTAACCAGTGTATTAGATGTGCGGCAATTTTCAAATATTATAATAAACATTTTTTCTTTCTTCTTTCATTGCCCATATGATATGCAGAAGCGAATTACGTAAATCGAAAAATCAAAATAAGGCGACGAAATTACCCGCGCATTCATGTCGCGCTGAACACAACAATGAATGAAATAAACAAAAACAAAGAAAATGTTTTGCAAACAACAGCTCCAGCACCAGAAACATCAACAACAACAACAACAACAACAACAGCGACAATGATAATAATAATAACAACAACTATACACCAATATCAATTCCGAATATAAATCGAATCGTTGAAACGTTTATTTTCGGAATTTTATGCACAAACATTCATCTGGTTATATTCCAAACTCGATGAAATGTTGTGTACAAATCTTATGAACTATTTGAATAAAGCATCCATATGACGTTGAAATGGAGTCGAATGAGAGAGAAAAAAAAAAGGTTGTCTATTTGATTATCAGAACACTCATCCCAATTTACGTAGGATCTAATCAAGAATGCCAGGCTAGCCAAAGTCGAACACGCCTTTCAACGTTCAACGCCGTGTATGAATGTGATTTTTCGAATTTTGCCTGTTATTTCCCCTTGTATTTCGTACTGTCCTATATACAATTGACGTATCGACTGCTATCATACAGCGGAGATAGGAAAACACAATTTATTTATCTTGTGTGCGAAACGCCTGAAACATGTGGAATATTTACTTTTCTATGTGATTTTGCTTGAATGCGTCAAATAGCTAAACGTTCGGTCGTTCGATGTGCGCAAGCGCAAGAATGAGAATGTAATTATTTCCGTAAATAGAGACACGAAATACATTATGAATGTCTAGTTAAATGATTCCAATCTAACAATAAATTTCTGCCAGAAGTGTGAGTTTGCCAAAGGTGCTGAATAGCCGCGCAAAAGATTATTGGCGAGAACAGGTGAGAAATAGCCAAGAGAATAAATAAGTATTAGACAAGCGCATACGAATAAATCGCTCGGACATTCAATGTACTTGCGCGAAATCGCGTAGTTTGCTTTGTTGACGTCGTCGCCGTCGCCGACGTTGTCGACTCAAAGAAATCGAGATGGATCGGTGACTGCGACGGAGCGACGGTCGACTGACATTTGTACATGTGTTTGATGTACTGTTGTACATTAAAATCCATTCATTTACGCTTTTTGTGTGCATACACGAAATATTGAGGGTCCGCATCATCATCACATCAATGCCACTCAATAACGACATGATACAGGCAGCCAAAGCCAAAGCAGCAGCAGCATCAGTAATCGCACTTTTTCAACGACACCAAATGAAGTTCAACGGCAAAAAATACAACGACGAAGAAAATGAAGACAATAGTTAAAATACTTAAACAAAAGTAAAAGGAACATTGAAGTCGATAAAAAAACAATAATAATGTTAACTTATAGCGTCACATCGATAAACACTTACACTCGCTTAAAATACGCGCACACACACACACCCAAACATTGAACACACAAGGAGGAAAAGTGAGAATTTTGGCTCAAATATGTGAGATTATAGCCGCTTGCCAGGCCAATTGAATCCGGAGGTCAAACAATGAACGGTTCCTTTCTTTGAATATCGCGCTGAACGCTAACATTCAATTGGATATGATTTGTTTTTATGGATGTGCTAACACCAGAATGTCACAGCTATTTATAAACACATAAAATATAGCCATAATATAAAAAAAAAGAGTTGCCACTGCCTTCATTATCGTACTGCTTTGATTGTGTTTCAGTTTAATGTAGACACTTGACCGCCTACCACTTGAAAACTTGACAACACAAAATGTACCAAAACAAAGAGGGAGAAGAAAAAAAAACACCGCACAGCCGACCATTGGTGGTGTTTTGTACTGTGTGAATCGAGAAAAATCTGGGCGACAGAGAAAAGGGGAAGTTGAAAGATTATTTGTGATAATTAAAATAGTTAGGAGCGTAAGTTGAATAGCGTGTGAGCCCATTGTTCTTAGCTCACCTGTGTATTGAAGGTAGATGAATTCTAGCTTGTTGTTTTCCGAACAAAGTACAAACTGCAAAGTATGACATAGTAAATTATTTACATACACGTAATCCGAGATTGTTTTGTTCATTTTTTATAATGCACAACAAGATTTGCGGCTTTATCATAAAATCTCCACGTGTTTTTTTCTCTCTTTGTAATTTGTTTCATTCTTTTTGCATATTGTTTTCTCTCACACACCTGATTTGACTGGATTTCTTCCACAGAACACTTAATTCTTCCGTATTTGTGTCGGAATGCCTCTTGCAGTTGGGCGATGCATCGAATTCACATTTGTATCAACATCAGACATTCGAAAATAAACATGCATTTAAAACCACAACAACAGAAAAACCCAACTGCACCATGAGATAAGCACTGCGGCACGAATTCCCCATGAAAAAAAAAACAAACAAAGCAAATTTAAAGCTCAGTACAAAATGCGAACATCGGAGATTTAATCGAGGCAAAATAAAGCTCAATGTAAAAAACAAATGTCAAAACCCAGAATACAAAGTGATACATCGACAAATTAGTGCTAGATTTACGTTTTTATCAAGACATGTTTGGTGCGAGTTTTTTTTTCTCTCTCTCTCTCTCTCTCTACTGACTAAGAATAAAATTTGAATGAAGCGTCACTTATTGAATGGTTGGTTTTTCATGTGTGCTTTTTTCCGTACATGCCGTGTTAAATGGTTGACTAATACGGCGCGATTGTGTGTTTGTTTGTTTGATTGTTTGTGCGTGTGTCATCATACGACGCACATGAACTTCGCATATGCAAATAAATCGAGGAAATGACAAAAATGGTAGCAGCTCAAGGCGTCCGGGCATTCGGATGCCTTCAGATTCGGTAGACAGAGATGCCGTTGTGGTTTTTATTTGACGTTTTTTTTTTGTTATTATCTTCTTGGTCACATCCATTTTCAAGAAGTAACAAATATACAGTGATTCATATTGATATTGTCGGTCGTCGTTGGTTTGTGCTTGCGGGCCAAACAAAGTCATTGGCTTCTATTTATAACATCGAATTATCGACAAAATAAAGCCAACCCAAAATTGATTGCATCGGATAAAAGAAATTAAGGGAATTATTGATAATGACTTGCGCTTGATTGTTCGAATTGTCGGTTAGTGGCACATCGATCAAAAATAAATTTAATACGAAAAGATATTTAGCGTTGGCTTACACACACACACGCACACACGCCGCGTCACACCATATTATCACCGATAACATCAATGACACCACAAACTATTGACGACTGACAACGAGAATTGATTGGCCAAACGTACGTGCAGTTCTGAGTATGGTACACAATTTCCTTGAACTTTACTCCATCCGTTGTGGTTTTACGTTCTTTGTTTTTGTCTCTGTTTTCTTGTGTCTACTATAAGAATTCAAAATTTTATTTGTTTTTGCATTTTTCGATTTTGACTGAATCAATAATCTTTTGTCAAATGTTAAAGGCAACACTGGCCGTTGATTATGCTGCGTATATTCGGTGCTTTAAATTAAATATGCAATTAATTTGTATAAACTAATATATCAATTACAACCCAATACGAGATAAAGTCCACTCTATAAACACAGACACATTGTGTGAGTAACGCACTCGCACGAACAAAATAAAAATCAAAATAACGACGTAAGCATGCGGAAAAAACGACTTTATGCTGATTTTTCGTTGCTGTTTTAACTCGTGCAACAGGTAAGAAAGTGATATTGAACTACTCTGTTTAAGGTTGATTGTGAAGCACTCGAAAAAAATGCGAGTTTTTTTGGGTTTTCTTCTTGCTTTATATTCCCGTTTTTTTTGTCGTTGTGCGTGCAATCGTGTTTGAACCGGGCCAATATTGGCTGGTTCAAATAAAATTGGCAAATAGAAATTGTTATGCAGTTTCAATCGTACGGTTGACACTTGACAAATAAACTTTTTTGTCTTAAAATATACTTCAATATCTGTCACATGCAATTAATAATAATGTGTACAGTGTACACCAACGGAGTCAGCACACAAAGCGACCACGTTGTATCTATTATTATGATTATGTGCATATTATAAAAGTTTGACTATTTTCGACTCTTTCTCTTCCCGGCCATCGTAGAAGTTGTTCGTGTTTTTTTTTCTATCTCTTTTCATACATCACTTTTTGGTGTGTGTGTGTGTGTGTGTGTGTGTGTGTGTGTGCTAGCTGAACTTACTCTCACTGTCACTCTTAATCTCATTGGTTTGTCTTTTTCTTCATGTCATAGTATTATATGTATTTTTTTTATTGCAACAACCGATCCAATCGTTATATCGCTTGCCACGAAATAACCGAGTGAAAAGAAAAGCGAGACAACCCAAAAAATTGGACAAATATAAGCTCATAATGGTTTTAGTCGGTCAGTAAAAGGAAATATAATTCGAATAAGCTTTTACACACTATGAACGAAATGTGTGCGTTCGTTCGTTCGTTCGTTCGTTCATGTGTGTATATTTCTGTTCCATACGCTGAATTTTTTCTTGGATACATCTCATAAACGCACACGGGTAGATCCGCATTTTTTCTCCTTCAAAACTTTGATTCAAATCTTATGTAATTCAACTGGTTTATTTATTGATTTAAAACGTGTTGAATTCCTTTCTATCCATCATAACATTTTTTTTTTAATTCGGTCATAGGTTTTTGTTTTGCCCACAATCTATTGCAATGCATTTTAGGTCAGGTAAATGGCGATCCCAAGACGTGTAATTATAAATTTAAAAGAAATCAGATTCCATGATGATGATAACGAAAATAGCGGCATCAACGGCGGAAAATGATCCATCATGAATATAATGGACGATCAATCGTCTTAAGTGAGTCAACAATCATTTGTCATTTGTATATGGTCTGTACAGGATTTTTTTTATATATCAATTTCGATGACGCAAAAATCACCAAAATGAGTTGTTTTTTTTCGTTCACACCAAATCTGATTGTAGTTTTCCGCCGTAAATGATTCTTCGTTCTACGTACCTTGCAGGATTTTTTTTTGAAATGATTTAGCAAACAGTTGCTACAACCACTCAATAAAATAGATTCACATTTGTTTTTATATACCTTTCTCATCTCATATGTGTGTTGTATTCTTTGATGAAACCCTACGGAGCTTTTTTTTCTCTCCCTCTCTCTGTTGATTATTTGCATTCATTTTATTGTTGCATATTCACCGGAATTTTCGTAGCCATACGACAAGAACAACAACTGTAGAAAATTTCTCATAACATTTCAATCCGGTTTGTCCGGGATACTGCGCTTAAATTTAAAATAATGCTAAATTCTCTTCATTTTAACGTAACACTGCACTTAGAAGCGAAACATACTTTTTTCTTTTTCTCTCTCTCTCTCTCTCTCTCTCTCTCTATCTCTAGATTTGATCGTGAAAAGCCAATTAGTCAGCGATGTGTGGTAATTCAAGTCTGTTGTGTTGAACTCTCGATTCTTAAATTTGCTTCTTTAATTTTTCGATGATCGTACCGTTGTCAAACGAATTATTGTTTCTGTTTGTTTTTCGTTTTATTCCTTTTTTGTTATTATTCTCGACTGATTTCAAACAATGTTCATTTTAACGATTCGGAAATTAGAACGCATTTACTCGGCTGATACTTCTGATTATAACGGAACGTGAACGAAAAATTATTTGTTTCTTTTCGAAAAAATTCTATTTCGCGCGCGCGTACAAATCAAAGTAAACTCGCAAAAATCGCAACTAAAATTCATTGATTGATTTGTTCGTTGGTGTAACGACAACTAATTCACCGCACAACAATTCGAATGTAAATAATAGAAGAAAAAAAAACTCGGAGGAGTTCACACAAAAATAGATGTGAACGTAAGCTGCTTCAATGGGTGACTAAAAGTTGTGCGACAGCTATAACGTGAAATTGCTAATGTTATAATTTGTTGTTGTGTGTTTTTTTTTTCTTCATCGTATGGTTGCTTTGTTGACGGCTACTGCGACTGTTGTTTCTGTTGCCATTGCCGCTACATTTGTTGCATTCCCATATGGTAAACACGGTGTCTACAGAGCTCACATGTACACGACTGGCTATAGGCAGATATTGTTGATACGCTAAATGTGTTGTCATGTGTCTGTAACTTTTTCATGCTTTCCCGTTCTCGCCCAGTGGACCGGGGGCCCTGTTTGGATGGTTTTTATCATCAAATATTGATGGTGTGCTTACACCGACAGTGGCCGACGGTCTCACGTAAATGTAAAATTGATGAAAAATGTTTCGAGTCGAATGCAAAGACACAACGTGCGAGAAAAAGTCGTAATCATCACCTCTCGCAATAATCACCGAGTGTCCGAGAGTGAGAGCGCTGAGCGCTGAACGGTGAGCCAAAACACAAACACACACACACAAGCATACGTGTAGGGGAGAAAAGCGAACAGAGAGCTGTGGATGTTGAAACAGCAAATGAAATAAAAACCGATGCAAGATGAGAAGAAATATGAGCGTTAGAGTAAGAGATGCGCGGAAAAACATGATGGATCTTATGAATATGCTGAAGAAAAATTTGACCTTCACTTTACTAATCACAATAACGACGTAATCATACTTTTATGAATCGACTGGTATCTGTTTTCATCTCACTTTAGATAGACGGGTATGTTGATGGACGCGCTACGACATCGAAGCGGCCACACACACGCTCACTATTACCATTGGTGCGGATTGTCAACGATTACCGTGCAACCGACGAACAGCAGCGCGATGATGCTGTGCTATCTCTGTAAATGATTACAGCGCTTACGCGCGCGCACTACTTGATCGTGATATTGTGTAGTCAACGAATGTCGTATGCGAAGAATTGCCCTCTACTTCAATTGCACACACATATTCTGGAAGAAATAATATAATAAAAGCAACAATGCTGCAATGTAGGCACACTGCCGACTATGCGTCGACTATGCAACAGTCACACAAAATATAATGTAATGTCCAATAAATCATAAGACCAGGTATGTATTTAAAGTTGTGTGCGGGCCGGGCTGCCTTGCGCCAACTAATATTTGCACAAATAGATGCATTCACAAATCTAATCGAATTAAAAAAAAAAAAGACAATTCATCAAAATTACGGAGGAAAAGAAATAGAAACGAGCGAAGGTAATGAAAATGAGACAGAAATAAAAAAAATTATTAAATCGCAACCATATAATAAATAATACGTATTGCTTAATAATGAATAATTTGCATTCAGAGACTAGTAGAGAGAGAAAAAAATGTCGCTTGAATTTTATTGACGTATTTTGGTCATTTTGCATTATTGATATTGTGCAAATATGATTATTTGTGACTGTGATAGTGTGTATGATTGTTGCAAAATGCTTCCAACATTGAAAATGGCTATGTGCCATATAACGAAGAAAAAACACATACACACGCGAAATAAAACCAAAGACATACAGTTATTCGTGACGACAGAGTTTATTTTCTCCCACTCGCCCTCACAACGACACACATTGATAAATGATAAAACATTATATTGATCAATTTATTTTCATGGCCACTCTCGCATGGTGTGACATCTTTTCAATGCAGTTGTGCAGCAGCTTTATCCGTAACATGGCACCTTATTGCTCGACAAAATCGGCATCGATGCAGCATCGTTCTGCTCTCATTTTGTTTTGAAGCTATTTTTGGAAATGAAAGTGATATAAAATCCAGAATGTAACCGACCAATTTTATGCTGGGAAATAATGAATATTCGATCGTTTGTGTATTGCACAAACAACTAAACAGCATTTGGACGCTTTCTTAACGATTCAATTCAGTTTCGATTGCTCGAATCAAACGAAATCATTTCCTTTTCGACTTACATTTACATCCAGTTGTGAATATTGTGTGACGCTGCAATTTATTAGCTAAGCTGCATTCCGCAAAATAATGGTGAACGCAAGCGTTATTTTTTCTTTCTTTCTTTCTTGTATTGGTCTCAAGCTAATCAATCAATCAAACATGTTCGACCTATTGATTGGCTGACTGGCTATGGACGTGCAATCATCAATGTGGGGAAATGCGCTTAATTTCCATATGATATTGTAAATACTAGACTCATTATGCATTCGTGTAACCGGTTCACATGTTCAATGGCTTTAGATGTGGTTGTGATGAGATCGGTAATTCTAATTAGCTTTACGGGTCAATAATTGATTATTAATTCAATTTTCACGAATTACGTAAATCGAAATTAATTTTCAAGTTGAAAGGGATCAGTAACGATGACGACAACAACAACAACAACGACGACGAAGATAACGACAGCATCAACATACCTTTTGTCTTTGGATACATATCGAATGAAGCCCAAGACCTTTTACCTATTTTACTAGTTAGCGTCTGATGAGGCAGTCAGCTAGAGACATGACTTCATGAATATCGGAGCCGAACAAAAATCAAGTGGCAATAATAATATGAAAAACAATGTGATATTTTGGTTGCGTTTTGTCACTATATATAAATTCTCTCATCCACTGGGCCAAAGTCACCGTTAATATGCATGGAAGCTGTATGCTCTTTCTGCTTTTTTTACACACTGGTATTGAGCTGTATAATATTTTAATTGAGTTGCGACTTGTGCGTGATGAAATCGCCTAATTTTGCGTGTGTATAGTTTTTTTTTTCTTGTCGCCCGTTTTTATGTGCGTACTCAGATTTGTATGTTTTGTATATCGTATATATTTGACTGTTGATCGTAGATAATTTTGCTGGCACAAAATGCGGCCTTTGAATGGGCATGGATTGCTGATGAATAAAAACCCCGGTTAGAAGACAATTATCGTTGCTCCTTTAGCTTTTCTATTGAATGTGACTCGAAATACTGCTTGACCTTGTTTAACCAACAACCATCTAAAAGTAAGAAACAAAATAAAAAGCAACAAATCATCAACACTTTCAGTGTCTGCACCTTGCTAAATGACAAATGAAATAGAAGAGAAAAAAAACAACGCACACTGCCAAGTTGACACACTCAAGCGGCCATCATCATGGAAATGATCTCAAGAAAATTGAACCGAATCGCTGTGGTGTACAATAACATTAGTGTCGCTCTTGTTTTTACATTGATTGTCTTAATGTTTTTGCTATTCTTCACAATTTTTTCTTCTTCTTCGGAATTACAAGGTATCCAATTGACCGATCAATTTGAATGAACCATAGTTTTTGTTGTAAACGTTAACCTTTTGTCTTTGGATATTTGTTGCCTTTTTCTCATGCCCAAAATTCCTAGATTAACAAATAAACGAGGAAATCGAAAAAATTCTATGGCAAATTATCCGCTTTTAATTATTTCCCATTTAAACGCAAAGTTTTATTGAGCGACGAAAATTCTTGAAAAAACAACAAAATAATAATAAAAAAAATCACAAATGGCAAAACATGAAATTGACTAGTTTAATTTTAGAACGGATCATTTGGAGTAGGCGAGTTCGTTAGTTTAGAGTCTAATTGACCCCCATTTTAGGTAATGCGGAAAAGCAGTTCCATGAACGTCTGCCAAATTACATGTGTTGATAGAGATTTGGTGGAACTCTTACCGATCGACTCACCGTATATACTTTGTCTGAATCAATTATAGTTTTCTACAACATATTGCCTGTGTCTGTACGCACAATCGGCCATTGTGAAGAAGAAGAAGAAATAAACGTCAACAAGCTAAACAAGGCAAGCATTTGAAACCATATAGAAACCTGGTCAAAAGTGGTCGTATCCAAATTAAAAATGGTAGAAAATGACTTCTTTGTTTCCAAGTTCAAGGTTGTCCATATAAGGAATTATGACAACCGAAAAACTTTCAAATTGAGAGCGAAATTCCGGGACCAGAATATTGACAACAAACATGCTCAGTATCATTCACCGCCATTTTTTATTTGTTTGTTTGCCGAACATTTTTTATTTGCTCCCCCAAATATAATCCAGCAAAAAGTTTAATAATCGTGCCCACGGATTTCACAAGGATCCCACATTTCTGTTGAAAAACGTAAGTTTATTTTGAGAACGCTAATCGTAAAAATGTCAATTTTGTGCGAGAATAAAAAACTATCACAATAATGTTTTCTGATAGTTTTCCATGATGCGATTTGATCGTCGTATATTTTGTCTTCTTGTTTTTTCTCCTTCGTCATAACAAATTTCATAAATGGATCCATCCCATTTTTGTTCATTGATTACGTGAATGTGACGCCAATGATGTTTATTTGTGGCAAAGTCATCTTCAGAAAAAAGATTCAATTTCAATGTGAATCTGAAAAAACGTGTCAAATATTGTATAATTCATTAATATCTGATTTATAATATGGAAGAAAAAAATGTTCCGAACATTTTGAAAGAAAATGCTTTCATTAACACTAATTAGAGAAAATCATATTAACGATATTTCATCAAATCGCGAGAAATTTGTGCCCATCATATCATCCGTTAGCATTGTAAAGAAATCGCCGAGCAAAAAAAAAAATCTCGAAATAAAGATTTAAACATATGAAATTTATAAGGCGTGTATGTGAATTGCAACGCAACTTTTTGGAACACACGAGAAAAAAAAACAACAACACTTGATAAATCAGTCTATTAGTATGGGTGTGTGCCCATGGCTAATTCCTTGTGGGACTTGCTACACATTGATTCGTTCCGTTCTGTTTCTCATTGTGAGTGGTTGGATTTGTTTTTCGTAAATACGATTAGCATCAATTAAATTGACTAATTAATATGGAGGTAAATGTTGATTAAACAAATTCCCCCGAAAAATGTTTTGTGTGCGACGGCCACACTTTGTCAGAATAATCGCTCGCGCTATGTGTTTGCGATGATTACGATTGTAAACACGGTTTATTTAAAGTCGTTCATCAGAACGTTTGTGTTTAGCTGGATTTTGACCCGAGTACCATTCTGTTCTAGAAGCCTCCGCATTTACGTCAAAGATTTTGTTCGTCGACAGCATGAAATGCGTCTCTATGTGTGTGTGTTTATATATTTTTAGCAAAGTCAATCGTGAGTATTGGCGATTTGAAATGGAATCAATGTCAAATGTGGCAATCAATCGGTGGCAATCGTTTTCAAATCACTCACAACCAATTCAATCATATCCATCAAATAATCCATGCCTTTTAAGCGATCGATCAACGTTCACATGCAATATGAACGAAAATAAAGATGTTAAAAACCCATCAAGTGACATTAAACAAGTTGTTTTTTTCTTAGCGTCATATGTTTTCAATGTATCGGAATCCCCGCTTCAATTGGCCATAAGTAATCAATGAAAATTCAACGGCATTGCCAACTTGCCCTGCAATTTTTTTTTCCATAACGGAATTCGATTTGTAATTGAAAATTATAACCGACCATCATCATAGACATTCCATTTTTTCTCACTCTCCCTCTCCCTATCTCATGCTTATTGAACTTTGAACGAAAACTTAACCAAACGGGAAATAAACACGCAAATCCGAATGCGTTGAATCCAATATCTATTTTCGATTGACGGTGTTTTTCTACAAAATGATCATCGGTTGTAAATGTTGTGGAAAATCACCGAAGATCCGATCTTTAATTTACACGCTTTCTAGAGAAATTTTACCACATGCCGCAATGTGCGTAACTATCACTTCGATAATACAATTAATATTGTAATTTTTGTGCAAAAAATAGCTCTTGATTACGGTTTTAGATTTAAATGGGCCATATAGTAAGCACCAAAGAAAATAAAAGATTCAAACGCTTTCATTGATTGCCAGAAATGCCTTTGCTCACTTTCCAAATGTTGTAAATCAGTCGTTAAATAGGTTTCATTTTACATATGAATATCATGCACATATCTGCATCTATTTAAAGTATCCATTGATAACATTACAATGGAGACATGTTACGACATATTCGAAAAACCGTTTGAAAATCCACTTGCCGATTTGCATTGATAACCGAACCGATTAAAACCACATATTTTTGTTTATTATTGTGTTCTCCGTTCAAAAAATTGGCGGCATATTATGTATTCAAATCATTTTTTATCTTCAAATTTTGAATATTTGATTTATTCTACCAACCGAACCTAAGTGTCCAACCACATGGAATAAATTCAGGCGTATCTGAATATTAAAACCGTAAAAACTTTTCAAAACAATAAAATGCCATTAAATCGAGTTAGATGGCGTTGTCAGTACCATATATGAAAAGCGTTTGAGTCTAAGTTTTACTATTGTTATTACCGATTTTGCACATTCCTTGATGCCATCTACTAAATGAGCAATCAGATGAATGTGTTTTTTTTGCTACTTGACTTTTCTATGAGAAAAAAATGCAAATGCATTTTATAAACGAAGAATTAGAAAAAAAAACAACAAATAGCAAAGCGTGTGTGTATGTGTGAGTGTGATAGAATGCTGAATGGCTTCATTAAAATCATAAAATGGATACCCGGATTGTGAGCGAACCGGCTATAAGGTAACCAATATTTGTGGCGTTGTGAGAGTCTGGTTGCTGTGAGGGAGAATGAGCACAAGCACGTTGATTTTCAAACAGCATTCACGATTTTTCACATTTACCTTCTGGCATGTACTTAGTGGTGGTTCGATTTGCGCACAATCGTCAAATCTTCGACGAGAAGAGAATGAAAATGAAAATGATTCAGAAGGAAAAAAATATGTCCGTTCGGCGAATTTCAGTTCGAAAAGCGCGCAATCTAAATGGCATGGCACGTTACACACGAAGTGTGTTTGCTGATGTTTGAATGTATGGTCGTTTTTGTGCACAAAGTGTGTAAAACAAAGGCAAGAGCAGCACATCACACAGCACATCAGTACACACACACACACACATACACATACCACATATATGCGCGCATACTCTTCGCGTCCAAACACACAAAAGCAAGCCAAGAGTTGAGTTGCGCGACGAGACGTGTACGATTGTATGTGCGTATGTGTTTGCGTATGTATGTGTGTGCATTTTTCACACACGATTCCTCTTACAAATATATTTCGTTACAAGAATACTGGCCGATCGGCTCTCTATTCGATTTTCGTTGTTTCCGAATGAACGGAGTGCGATTCGGTTTAGTGTAAAATGACTGTGAACTTCGTTCGCATTAATATACGTTTGAGTGGTCGCGCTCGTGATTGAAGTAGGAAAAGTTTTTTTATATATTTTTCTGTCGCGCATATTAAACTCTACCAGAACAAAAAGAAAAAATAAATAAATTAATAATATTTAACCTGAATTCAATAAAAATTATACTTTGTCATTTTTAGTGAAAGACATTTATCAACGTTTCCAATTTATCAGTTTGTTTTCGTTTAGTTAAAAGAAACAAAAACTTAAGCATAAGTTAGTCAAATTACAGCGAGAAAAAAAATACAAGTAGAAAAGCAGAGAGAGAGAGAGAGAGATAGAGAGAGAGAGCGAGCGAAAAAAAAGTAAAAGCAACGCCAATCAACAGACAACCAAGTCAATTTTGATTCGTATTATAAATATTGCAAGCATCCAGCCGATAAAAATCATTGACAGATCTGAACCTAATCACGAATGCACGGAATAAAAAGCGAAAAATTGCTGAAAATGTGAATAAAATTAAAAGTTATGATTTTTTGTACATGAAACATCAGCCGCAACAGAGCAACAGCAACAACAGTTGTAGTAGCAGCGCTGAACACACAACACTGAGTTTCGTTCAAGATGGGATAAAATGGCCGCCGTCTGCAAACTAACATAATAAAAGTTGTGAACCAAACTACATCCAAAATAATATTTGAGGTTTGTGTGCATTTATTTTGTTGTTCTGCATTTTTCTCCATAATTGTTGCGTTTATTTTTTTTCTCTAAAATTTTGATTATGCTATGTCGCAGTATCAATGACATTTTGATTTTATTCGTGTTTTTTTTTCTACTATGTTTATTGGTACGCTGCACGATCATCAAATGTAGGAATTGCATTAAAATTAAGAACTTTACTTAGTACGAAGTACAGTGTGATAGAACCATAACAGAGAAGAGAAAAGAAGAAGGAGAGGAGAATGAAGCGAAATGAAGAGAAGAAAAGAAAAGAAATAAAAAATATTGGGAAAAAGAAGAAGAAGAAGAAGAAGAAGTAGTAGTAGTAGAAGTAATGTTCCTGCGAGAAAGAGAAAGAGAGATACTCCCTGTTATTTTTTTTATATTTGGTTTTATTGTAGTTATCGATCGATTTGTATATTTCGTATAATACACACTTACACAAGCTAAACGCAGTGGAATACATCGGGTTCATAGATTCGTAGACGGTTGATTTGGTGGTTGTGTCTGTGTGAAATATTGAATTCATGTGTACGTAAATATAACTAGCGAATATTGTGTGACGTATGGACGCGATGAACGAAGCCAAAAATGAAAATTCATTTTTGGAACATTTCGGTGCAGGAAAAGTAATTGTTTTGTTTGCGACTTTTCATTTTCATTTTCATTGCTTGTCTCGTCGCTCCAAAAAAAAAGTTTCTCCGGACGACGAAAAATGACAGTACACTGTCGCTTTAAATATGTCGCTAACGTTTATTATTCACGATCCAAATCAATTTGTCAATTTTAATTTAGCATCAAACGACGGCAAAGAGTGACACACGAGAATGTCTTTCGTCCCCCCTAAAATTCAATAAGAACAATGGCAAATAATTTGTCTTGGCATGCTTTGGCAATAGTTTGAACAGAAATTCCCTCTAGCACATACATACATAGACATACACAGTGCCGTGTGCGCTATCGGGCAACCTCTCTCTCTCTCTCTCTCTCTCTCTCTCTCTCTTTTTTTCTCGCTCTCTCCCGAATTCGTCGAGCGTTGAGAAACATTGAAAAGGGCTGACAATTCGAGCACAAAAATTGGAATTTCGAATTGAGAGCACGCAAATAACGAAATTGTAATGTATACAGGAGTTATGCATTACGTTACACGTATTATTCATTGTTACAACCATAAATAAAGTATTCTGCATGAATTCAATCCACAATGTAATCACTATATAGTACATGCCCCACTGTGTGTATGAGGATACATCATAAGCATAGAGAAGTTATAAAATACGTGCGCATCATTTTAAAGATATTGAAGATTCGTCTAATAAAGGATGCATGATCTAATATTTAAGCAGAGGCACTGCAGGATGAAAGAGAGTGAGAGAGTGTGAGAGGGAGAGAGAGAGAAAGAGAGAGAGAGGAGGACGAGACAGAGGGAGAGAAAGAGGCGACAGGGAAATTATGGCAAATGTATATTGTACATGTAGCAAGGAAAATTTATACACTCAAAACTTCGGTTTTGTGTATATAAGAGAGGGATCGACAAATTTTTCGAAAATATTATAAAATTATAACAGCGAATTTTATACCGTATAGATCAAAATGGATTCCATAAATTATTTATTACTGAAGTAATGGAAAATGAGGATTCAGTTCCGCGTGCAGCATACACTTTCGCCTTCATACGGGGGAAGCGTTGTAATTTCATTAAGTACGAAAAAAAGCATCGTTTAATTACTTCAATCGGCCATATTCATTAAATTCGTACCTTTCAATTGTATGTGTGGGACGCGTACCACTTTGAGCTGGCGGTTGAAAGAAAATTACTTCTGTGTGCTCGCGACTCGGCATTTTTGAAAACAATAACGAAACAAAAAGAAAATGATGGAACGCCAACACTCGCTAAACAAAAACCCAACAAAGTTGTTCGGTCTCTGAACACACACACATACATAAATTCATACATTTCTATATATATATAAATAAATACTTATTCACGGCTTCTATGCAAGCATCTTGGATCGAAGAGAACAAGGCATTAAATAATTTTTTAACACATCCATTTATGTTACCATATCTTGATTCGTTCGCCTTTTATGTGTTTTTGTTTGTTTCACAGAAATCTCAATCACGCGCACACACACAGACACACACATCGGCGTCCCATTCAATAGACAATTCCACTTCATCGTCGTACCAAATCAATTCAATTAAATTCAACCACTGTCAACGACACAATCAAAAATAGAAAACAAGCCAGCCAGCAAGCAAAGCAAATCAAGACCGAAAAAAAAACATACCGAAATTCACGCCGTACCCAAATACAATAACTGACAATTATCTGTCATAATGGAATCGCCCAAAATTGTGTCGATGGCACGCGGCGCTGATGCGACATCCGCTATGGTTGATCAATTATCCAATGCGATCGAACAAATGCAATTTCGACAAAACTACACCAAATTAACGGTTGTCAAGCCAAATTGGTACGCGGTTGCCCATTGTAGTGGCCGGCAAAAGGTTTTGATTGAGAAATTGCGTGGCGCAGATGAGCGATTACAATCAATTATTGCTGCTGGCAAATTGCACACCAACTGGAATCAATACAATGCCGTACGTAAGGGGATCAAGGAGATTTTCGCCGAACTATTGCGACACGAAATGAAATTTTGCCGTCAAAACAATGTTGAGCAACACTTTTGGAAGCTTCTCTATCACAATTTGATTGAGAGTGCACGTCGTTTGGCCAGCGATAAGAGCAATAACGACCGTTCCATGAGAGATTCGTATCGGCAATTGTGTTTGCACTTAATCGCCGATGGCAAAGAATTATTTCAAGAAATTTTACGCTTGCTCACTCAAACATATGGCTTTCAGCTGGAACAGTATATGGGTGTGGAAAGTGGAAAGAATTTAAAGGGCTTAAAGTACATCAGTCTGGCTGTGGTGTCGGTACAAAAGTGTTGCATTTGCTTGGGCGATCTGTTGCGATATCAAGCACTGGTCAATGAATCGTCCAAATTTGAGGGGGCTTCCGAATGGTACTCCAAGGCATATCAGTTGATACCATCGAACGGAATGCCATCGAACCAATTGGCCATACTTGCGCTGTACAATAAGAAGAAATTCGATGCGATTTTCTATCATATGCGCAGTCTGAACGCGTCAAATCCAATCAAATCGGCCAAAGAGAGCCTCGTGATTCTGTTCGATGAGCTGCGCAAAAAGTATCAGTCGCTGAACAAAGTCCAGAGTCAGTCGATGGCCGGCCAAAGTGGTGATGCCAGCGCAAAACGAGTCAAAATGAAAAATTTCAAGCGAGAGATATGGGTGCATCCGACCGATGGCCAATTAAATTATCGAACCGTATTTTTGGACCAGGAGAGTGAGTCGCTCGACTCGGTTGACTTGTATAAAAAATTCATATTTAATTTTTCCCATTTGCATGGCATTTTATTCACCAAAGTTGGTTCCGATTCACTGGAGATTTGCATTGAACAGACTCTGAAGCAATTCCAAGAGCTATTGAACCACTCCACGTTAACGTCGTGCATTTTCACCCTGCAAAAAATCGCTCAAATGATCATTCTGAACATTTATTCTATTGAGAATAGCATGCAATTGTCTAGCTCGTCACACTCACCGACACTGACACCGTCATCGCCATCGCCATCCTCGTCGTCGTCGCAGCCGCAGTCTGCCCTGGTGTTTTCATTCGCATTCATCGGAATAATTTTAAATAAATTACAATGTGAAATGGATGATATGCTGGCCACAACTGACACTGACGACACCACCTATGAGTCGAAATGCCGCATCAACGGAGAGACACATTTCAATGTTAGGCAAATAAATAAATTCAAACTTTCCGACAGCATAAATAATTTATTAGCTGCCATTTCGTTGTGGTGCAACTGGTTGAAATTCAATTGGAGCGCATGGACATCGGACGCGATACTTGTTGCCGTGCATAAATTCAACGAAGCATACGGCATTCGTGTATGGGATGATTTTGCTTGTCTCACAATGGCGCTAGATAAATTCAATTTTGAAATTGATGATCAATTATTGGTGCGCTCGGAGCCACTGCTGCAGCTCAACAACATCGAATCGTACAAAAGAATTCGATTAAGTGAAGATATGATAACACTTGGCATGCCTTCCGTCATCCGAAATGATTTTGTGTACTGTAAAGCCGACATCGACGAGCGATGCGCTGCCACTGTTCTGCGATGGAAGAATATTTATGACTTTTGTACGACCGAGCTAATGAAAGAAGGGTGTTCGTTTTTGTGTCGCCTCGATTTTGGTGAAGTGGTTGTTGCTCAACTGTTCAGTGCGGTTGACGAGTGTGGTTCGCACAACAATAGCAGTTTCGGTCTATCGGAAGATGAAAAAGACACTGCGGAAAATCCCGGCAATGAAAGCCGAAACACAAAGCCATTAGCGGATACTGAGGCAAGTGAAGGCAGTGGTGGTGGTGGCGATGGCAGCGGCGGCGACAAACATTTGATCTCAAACCAGGAGACAGATGAACATCAATCAAACGCTTCGTGTGACGAAATACGAAGACTTTTGCAAAGAAAAAGTGAACTGGAGCAAACTCACAAAATGCAAGAGAAACTCAGCAAATTCAACCAAGATATATTGCGTCAAACGAATTCGGAAACCATTTGCTTGGAGATACGGCCAAAGTACTTGCTACCAGACACCAATTGTTTCATCGATTTTTTGCCCGCCATCAAACAATTAGCACAAGTTTATCCACTGTATCATGTGATTGTGCCGATCGTTGTGCTGAACGAACTCGAAGGATTGGCCAAAGGTGATGAAAGCGGCCTAAAAATTTATGACACACCCACAAAAACGTCACTGAACGCACATAAAGCGTTGGTATTTCTAAAAGCAACCGGATCGAATGTGAAATGCGCGACATCAAAGGGTTCATTCTTAAATTCAATGGCATTTACAAAGGAATCCGATTGCATAAATGCCACCGAAAGTCCAATCGACCATTTGAACAACGACGATAAAATTCTTATGACAGCCATTAACTTAACAAAACAGCATTCGAACGATGCAATCATCGGGTCAAAACCTATATCCATATCGAATCTCCAGCGCAAAGTTGTTCTCCTAACAAACGATCGAAATTTGAAATTGAAAGCGATTACACAGAACATACCCGTTCGTGAACTTGTTGATTTTATTAAATGGAGTGGCATTACCAAATAAGGCCTACATACACTTCGTACAGATATATATTGTTATAAACAGATAGATAAACGGAATAAATACATGAATATGAGCGGGAGAGAGAGAGAGAGGATAATTGCGAGCTCTTCTGTACAGATTGTCAAATATATACTTTCATTAATGGACTTTTATTGGATTAAATAAACAACAATTTTATGAATTTAAAAGAATTTACCATAGTCAAGCACTTACAGTGCACATACCGAAAATATTTACGTAAATACCAGATATGTATACGGAAGATATATACACACAAACACATTTATACATTGGAATGTAGAGTTTCTTTTTTAAACAATTGAAAAAAACGGAAATAAAGAGAAAGAATTGAATGAAGACAAACGAATAAAAAACACTACCGTTTCATTTGAATGACTTTAAAGTTTTGCACTGCATAGAACTGAAAAAAAAACAACTAATGGCAACAATTTTTGGTTATTCTCGCAAGAGCCACTCACCCTAAAAATGAATTGCACTTTTACAGCGAACGCAATTTGTCTTGATTAGTTTTTTTTCTAGCAAAAAAAGACTTTTTTTCGGGTCGTTTTTAGTTAGGAGCTGAATAAATGCATGATTGTGTACAGAGTTTGAGCTTATTGTCTGGCTTAAAGGGGGCCACTCTTCGATGTTGTATATTTTTATTTCTTTTTTATTAAATTTAAACCCCGTACGAACGCAGAGCGAAAACTATTGTGTTTTAATTAAAAGTTATTGCAAATGCGACTAAATTATCCTATAATAAAATTAAAGGGGCCACATATTAAATAGCATGCAGCGCCGTTCATTGGGAGCTCTGATAAAAAAAAGCACATGAATTATCATCGTATTCTGAATTGAAACATGTACGAAAGATGAGTTGTTGCTCTTCTTCTTCTTCTTCTTCGCCTTGTTTTTTATAGTTTGTTTTGTAACTCGGGATGTGTGTAAGTGGTGCTCACAGCGTGCAACTAGGCAACTGGTATATTTTGGCAAATGCGCATCCGACTCTCTTGTGAATCATAATTTACGATAATAGAAGAATTAGTCCATTTTTAAACAAAGTCTTTTGCAGTGTCTGGTACTGTAAAATGTGTTTGATGAAATTCGCAATGCACACACACACACACACAGAGAGAGAGAGAGAGAGAGATCTGATTACGCATGGTGGTCAAATCATATTAACGGAGATTTTAATTTAAAAACCAGCAGTTGGTCTCGTTACGAGTTAAAATATGTGTGCCGCTGTGCAAACAAATGCAACATTATTTTTTTTGATAATCGTCGGCGTATTAAGTAATCATGTTAAATTATAAAATTGACAATTATTCTTTCGTTTGTTTCTTTCTTTCATTTTGTTTTTTTTTTATGTCTGCCCAAATGAACCAATAAAAGTGCCAAAGAACTGTCTGTTTAAAAACAAAACTGATTTTATTTACATTCACTTTCTTGTTCCACAGGGTTTGCTGGAGAAAATCGATTGCAGGCGAATACGCGCGATAAAAAAGAGAACAACAACAACAAAATTATGAATTATGGATATCCTTTGGCTACAAAACACTGTCAGTAGGCAATTTCTAGTGAATACCGTCACAACATTATCCGAGCAGCTAATTACGATCAATAATGTGGTGACTGGTTTGGTATCGGGTGGCATTAATGCTACAGTCACCAAAGATGATGCAACTAATACTCCAACAAAACGAAGCAACGAAACTTTATTTACTCAAAAGTTAATTAATTCAATTAGAGGGAATGTTGCCTGTACTCACAGACATGGTTTTAGTGGCGACACAGACAATTACCTATATCAACAGAAGAGTGCTCAGTCTCAGTCATCGGTCGTTGGTACGCTATTTCATCCGCCACAGCACCAACATTGGCATCCATTGCCAAAATGTACGGCGAGGACGATAAAAAATATCAAGGCCATAGGCAATATTGTTAACTTAGATATTGAAAAAAGTGGCACAATTTCAACGTACGATTGTGATTCTAATTATACTACAACTAATGCAACAAGAACAACCATTACTTGTCATAGTAATTATGGTACCGTCAATAATAATGTTCGGGCCGAGCATAATGTAAAAAACGATAAATGTAATTATAATAATAATAATAATAATGATAATAATAAAAGTAACGAGCAAAACCGCAGCACAAGTACGACATCAGTTCCAACGTCGAGTCGCTTGAATAGAATAAATATCGATTCACCGATAGATATTGCGCCGATCTCGACAAAACCTGCGTTTTACGTACAATTCGAGAAGCGAGCACAAAGAAGCCAAAACCAATGGTGGAAGAATTTAGTTATCGTAATTTGTTATTTATTTCTACTCTCATCATCGTTGCGAATTTGCAGTGCTAACAAACACGACGGTAATTTTTCATTGCTATCCCCTTTTCTCGTCTTTTCTTTTCATTCATAATTTTCCTTCTAAATTTGAAGTTCGTTCATTCGATTTCCTTTTGAATTCGGTTAAGACGCTATTGGGAAATTCTTTTCCCACATTTCAACACATATATAGTATGTGTGTAGTCTTACGTCAAACAATAAAAATATGTATATCATATACATATACATATGCATAATAGGAAATCTGAAACCGAACCAACTTGGCGTACTTATTCACGAACTAACACTTAAACCAAAACTCAAATACATTTGCGACAAATTCCAATAAATTGTTTTAATGTTTTGCTTTTTTTCTCTCCCCTCGTTCAATGCGGTCTCTCTCTCTCTCTCTCTCTCTCTCTCTCTCCCTATTTAGTATCGAATTGTACATTTCCACAACGCTGGGAAGGTTCATGGTTTCTAAGTGGCAATCAACAGCCAATTTTTATAAAAGGGAACACGCTTAGTTTTCGGGGGAAATGTATGGCGTCTGACGGTGATAAATTTTTAATTGTCGACGAGTGAGTATATCAAATTTCATTTAACACAGACAATTCTATTTTCTTGATTTCCAATTTATGCAAGTTTGGCATGTGGTTTTTAATTTCGACGAAATGGTTTATTTCGACATAAGCCATTTTCCATTCATCAACTGTGTGTGAAAATGGAAAATCCAAAACATGAAAAGTTCCATTAATTGAAAGCATGAAATTAATTGATTTAAACCATTTCCTTGTTTTTATGAACTATATGACTACATAACTTAAATAACTGAAAAGTTAAAACAAAAATAAGAATTGACATTTGACATCGAATTAAGTAATTTTTTCACAAAAGAAAAAGAACAAATATTTATTTTGGTTTTGAATTTTTTTTTCTTTTTTTTTCAATTTCATGACTGGACCCCAAAAAAAAAAAAAATAAAAAAAAATCCATTTTTATTGCAATTCAAATAAATATCGAATTGAATTGAACAAATGAAAACCGAAACCATTTGTTGAATATGTGGATTGCGATCGCAAATGCATGTGTGGAAGCAGAAAAGGGTGTCATCGATGTTTAGTCATCTATGAAAAGCATAAAAATGTTCTACAGTATAAAGAAAGTGAGTGTGAAGGTGACAGTATGTTTGCGGATCAATCAAATCCAGCGGCAATGTCAATTCAACAAATGCGTAGTACCATATTAAAAAGTGATCATAAGGGGGGAGCTCATCCCAATATAAGACTACTATCGTCATCGGATCAATATTCAAGTCGATCCAATGATGATACTAATGATAATTGTAAGCATCAACCAATCGAGTTCCTATACATATTAATTATTTATTCATTTATCTTTTCTGCCAGATGATTTATTTTTTCCGTTTTTTTTTTCCTTTCTTTAGTTTTATTTTCATGTATATAAATATATATTCCAATACCAAAGACAAAAAAGAATTAAAAAAAAAAGAATTCAAATTCACCGATTCTCAAGAACAATCGCTTTGTGTTGTCTCGAAAGTGAAGCGCGCATGTGCAATCGCACGCGCACTCATATTGTGTTCAACAAAAACCGAAAATCGAGCGTAGGATTTTCTTTAATTAAATGAAATGATGCGTTTTCGAGACGCCAAACCGAGACTTCCTGAGAATTCATTGAAATGTTATATCGCTATGTGTGTATGTATGTACATATTTATAAATTGTAATATTATTATTTTGGACGGTGGAGGTGGTCACACTGTACATAACGAATCTATAAAAGAAAAAAAAACGAACAAGCAAACAAACCAACCGAAAAAAAAGAAACATATACAAACATCAACAATAGTTTTCATTGTCATAAAAACCAATTGCACGATTCGCACAAACTTATTTTTTCACACTTAGTGTCCAAATACTCTCATTCTAGTCGTGGGACAACAGTATAAACAGCTAAACAGCAGTGAAGTTGATTCGTCTGTGCATCCATTCCAGTTGCCCATATGTTTTTTTTTCTTCTTTCTTTTCGTTTCATACATATTTATACATATACATATATATGTGAATGTGCTTCGCAAGTGGAGCTCGCAAACAAATTAAAATGTATATTTTTTTCTCTTGTTTTGTTCTATAACTTGGCTGTTGTGTCCGCACACACGATGTATCTCTCTGGCTACGGTCAAGTCAACGCTTCAACATTCTTCAGATAATTTATCACAATTGAGAGCGAGAGAGAGAAAGAAAAAAAATATACACCAGATGGCAAGCGATGAATGGAAAAGTAAACACTAAATTCCATACACATTTCAATGTTTACGACTAATTCAAATGAATTGAAAATGCACTGGGAACCTCTGTTCGTTTCTGATAATCATCTCACTTTGCTCGCATTCATACCCGCAAACAATAAACAATTTTAGTTTTTTTTTCTCTGTTGATATCATTCGCCGATGCAGGAAAATTATGTGCATCAGGAGCCTTCGTCAGATTTAGATATCAAATGAATTAGTATGATTTGTTTCACTCTCTTCGTGTGGCGTGTGTATGTATGGCTGTGTTTTTGTCGTTAGACGGATGCGTGCGTGTGTGGAAGTGTGAGTGTCGATCATAATCTAGAAAATGTAAAATGATTCGGTGGCTAGCATTGCCGAAATTAATAACATAATAAACCATTAAAACCGAACGGTATTTTCCGACAACGATTACACAAGCAACAACAACAACAACAACAACAACGATGTCGACGACGACAACGAGGACAAACGACGAATATTTATTCTCATTGGGAAATTTTTCAATCGTACACACCAACACACACACACACATATTACCGCTTTGGACATCTCCATATATCCAAAATATCAATTGCAATGCTTTAAGTTATTATTTTTTTGTTTGTGTTTGATTTGGTTTCACGTTATTGTTGTCGCCCGGTTTTTGTTCCGTATAAAATTTATGATAATTATTCACAAATACACACAACTATTATTCATTTTAAATATAAAGTGTATGTAAACGCGATGTCATACCAAACACATCCCCCAGATTGAAAATATATTTTATAAGCGAATTAAACGAAACATTCGACGAGATGTATGAATTTTGTGTGGAATTATCCTTTTTTTTCTCGATTTAAATGTTGTGTGCCGAGAGTAATTCAATTGTTGAAACAGAAAACAAAAAACAAAACAAAACAATTATTATTTGCGTGAATGTATATGGGTGTGTGTGTGTGGGTGTGTGTGTGTGTGTTGTATGTTTGTGTTTGTGTCTGTGTATGTTGCTCCTCATTGGCATTGATATGCATTAAATGGTCGCTGCAAATTTTCTGCAACAACAAATTGTTAAATGTGCCAGGCTAAATTATAATTTAAAATCAATTTTGGTTACGATGCCAACACATCAAATGAAAAACCAAATGACATTATCGTTTGAAGTGACAAATCAACAGGGTTATTTTTTTCTTTCTTTCTCGGGTATCGCGTAATGTTGTTGGTTTCAATTATTCATGTGGTGCAGTGCGATCGGTTTGATTTTCAACAGTTTCACACATTCCTTCCAAAATTATCTAAACCAGCAAATTGATGTTGAAAATGTTAAACGATAAATAATGTACACAGCCGCAGAGAATGGAAAAACCCTCTTTGACACAAAACAATTCCAAACCGTTATTTTTTTGTTGTTGTTGTTCGTTTTGTTTTATTTTTCGTTCCACGAATTGTGCTATCAGCATTTATTACTCTATAAATTGAATGTAGATATTGCTTGTGAATAAACGCGATGATTTCCGAGAAAGTCATTATTCTTTGTTTGACTATACATATGGTTGCTATTTTTTTTTCGTTGTTGTTGTTGTCGTTTTGTTCGCTTATTGTTTGCATTTTTTTTTTCATTTCAATATTTATGCCTGTCGCCATTTTTCAACGGTGTCCATGCGTTAGTCACTTGAATAAACATTTTGAATGTACAGTCATAATATACCGTCTACATCATCGATAAGATATTCAGACAATAAACCAAAAAAAAAAAAAAAATAATCACACAACAATACGGATTTCATCTCCGTTTGCAGAAGAAGCAGAAAATAAAACACGACCGAAAACAATTGTAAAAAATGAAAGAAAAAAACGAATATTGCGAATATTTTTAATGCAGGAAAATTATGTCGAAACCAACGATTTGAGTAAAATATTTTCTTGCAATCAAGTTCAAAACCGTTGAACAACTAATAGAATGCTGCCCGTTAGACAAGTAAGAGATACATGAGCATGGCTGATCTCTCACTTCACCATCCTATTTCGTTTTCATAGTTTTTTTTTCTATTTGAACGAATTTCAGTCGATGTCGACTGAAGTGCCGTGCATATTCGAATGCTATATAACCATGACCATTCCGATCGATATTCCGAGATGTTTCTCTTCTGTTTTTAGATATACCTATTTGTTATGATTGATATGATTTACATAGCGAATACCTTTCTTCTATATTCCATCCCCATTTCCACTTTTATTCACTCATTCATTCAGTTGTTTTATTTATTTTTCTTATTTTTTATTTGGTATGTTCATTCATTAAAGTCATCCATTATTTATTTCATGACGCTCTAAATTTAGATTAGAAAAATTCTATACTTTTGTTGTATGTTTTGTGATAATGCACCTATCGTCCATTGTTCAATAACTGTTCGGAACATTTCAATTCCATTCAAGTGAAAGATACAACAAAAGTGCAGGACTTTCTCGATTGTATTTATTTGGAAAATTACGGACATTTTGGTTTCATTTATTTCGTTTTTTCCTTCTGTTCGGTTCGGTTCTGTTCGTTCCCATTTCATTTGTTTCTAAATGTTTTTTTTTTCTTCATTTCTCCAACTCTCCGACATTTGCTCTGGCAAATGCATTCGGAATGAATGTGTGACGAGCCTTGTTTTTCAGGGCTGGTATAAGACAGTGCGTGCAATGGAAGTTGCATGTTTGCATCCCATCTACGCGGTGCAATAACCAGATGTACTTAAAAATGTACACGATGCGCATATTTCGAACGTACGTCTGAACACAATCGTCCTTTTGTTTATGGTTTTTTTTTTGTTCAAGATTTTTAGTTCATTTTTTTTTTCATTTTCCTTGTCACGAGTGAAAAAAAAAGAGTGAATGATTGAGCGAGAGTGTATGAAAGTTCGAATCACATCCATCGTTGTTTTATTACCAGTGGTTGTTCCCCCGGTTCTTCAATCAGACTCAAATTAAAGAGTACGATTTTTTTTAATCAACCGGCAAATTCACGGGAACAGCATAAAAGAAAGCGAGAAAAAGGAATGGAGATAAATTGATAACGAAAAAAAAATTAATACAAACCTAATCGATTTCCAAAGGAAAAATAAAACAAAAACGGTACATGTGGTTCCACTGAATTATGCTCAAAATTCAAAATTTACTAATTACAAATGACCATTCAGTTACAAACACATCAAATGCAACAATCTTTGTATCAATATTTAACAAAATGATATACAAAAAAAAACGAAACAATACTCAAACTATACATAATAATCAATAATCTGGTTCGTTCGGTTTAAATGAAAATGAAAATGTTGGGATGGGCTGCCCGTGTTTTAGTACGCTTACAAATTTTTAGCATGTACAAATGTTATGAACAAAAAACCAAAAAAAAAACAAATTTCATTTATTTTATTTTAGCAATAAGTTTCATTGTCTTTTGTTATTTGTTAATTCTTGTTCTTGCTGTAAATAATACCGTATTAACCATACATGTAAATTATCACGTTTGACCGGAGAAAACAGTCAAACGCATTCATTCAGATTTGAGATTGCGATTGCTATTGAAAGTGAGCGAGCTAGCGAGCGAGAGAGAGAGAGAGAGCGAGAGAGCGAGCGAGTTTGAAAGATGTATTTTAATAGAAAAGAGCAAACAACAACAACAATCCAATCAATTAGTGGCTATGACATGCTTGAAATACATTTGCCAGTGTAATATGTGATGCCATTTGCTAAAACCCAATTCGACAACCAATCAGAATTCGAATAATCGCTGTAAGAGGATTAATCTCCTGTGTAGTACATAAAATATAAATAGGAAAAAAGAGCGTTTTGCAGTTGACCGACATTGGCCTGTAAATTTACCGAAAAAAAAACACATACATATATTGCTATTCGTTCAGCGCCGTCCTATTTGTTTCGAGGCTAGTCGAGCCCGTTTGTGCAGAATACGTGCTTCGAAGTTCAAACTTCCTGCTTTTAATCGAATTTTCACTTTTATGCGGATAGAACACGATCGAGACCGATGGTACAACCACCTCCCACTCATTCCAGCCACAGCATACATTCCCGTGTATTCGTGTGTGTATGTGTGCGTTTCCATCGAAATTATTTTATGGCAGCTTCCACCCCAATTATCTAATCATTTTCGTTATTATTTGTATTGTGTGTATTTTCGCAAAGCAAACAACATATAACACAAATATTTACATAAAACCAGAACAAAGAGAAGAAGAAAAAAACATTAGATAAAAATAAAACCGACGAGAGAGAGAGAGAGAGAGAGAGACAGACAGAGACAGAGGGAAAAAAGCCCAAATAAAAAACGAAATAATTGCGATGTTTTTGTCTGATGCTATTTTACGCTTTCCACATTTATATGTATGCAATTTTGTTTGATCTTTCTGATTTTAATTGCCGATATTTGTTTGCTTATTTCGTTTGTTCGATTTCGTTGTTTGTATTTCGTTGAAAAACTTTAACGTACATTTCCGACGGATCGGAAAATCGTGTAACATCACGGTGTATTCGATTTTACAAACGGAATTGTTGTGTATGCTTTCGTATTTCGTACGCTTATGCTACACCACTACCAAACTTTCTGCATATCACAACACAAGCATGTCTTAAGAGAGAGTGAGACGACAAAATGGACGATACAATCATATAAACAAGTGAAATCGATGTAATCGTAGGACGTATTATTGCTTTGGTGTGTGCAGAATTTTTTTTTCGGGGAAAAAACATGTGTCCTCAAAGCACTGTCAATTTTGTGTGTGTGTGTGTGTGTGTGTGTGTGTGTGTGTGTGTGTGTGTGTGAATGTTTGTGGAAAACTTTCATTTCAAACTCGTTTCCAATATTGTGAGCCATTCATTGCTTCGGTTGCAATAGCATATAACCCAATGGAAAGAACAAACTCGCCCGGTTAAGTATAGCGCATATGAAGAAGAAGGAGAAGACGATGACGATGTGGGAAAAAAACCTTACCCAAAAATCTTTAACGACTCGTAATGAAAGTAAACTAAAGTACGGGATAACTTAAAGTTTAAGCTCACTCGTTAACAACATTTCCTATTTACCCCTACGAAGGGAGCAAGAGAAAAAAAACCTATCCAACAACAACTGAAGTAATACCATTTGCAATCGTAAACTAACGACGTTGATTTTATGTCGTCGCATTGTTTAGCAGCAGCAGCTCCTGCACTCCCTTTTCTCGCAGGACACGTATGAACTTTGTAGTTATAAAATAAATGAACGTTTCTTCTTCTCTGTGTCTCTTCAATAGTGCTAATACTTGGAAAATGAAAAGAAAAACAGAATGGTATTTTTTTATGATAACGAAAGGAAGAAAAAACACACATATCCAGCACAACCGCCGCAGTATTCTTGAGTTTTCAATTCAAAGTTTTCCACCCCAAGTGCCATTTTCCCATGAAAAGAATTTCATTTAGAAATTTATCTTTGGCAACGGCTTCACGTTTTTTTTTTCTCCTCTTTCACTTCCCTCCGTCATAATTTTTCGATACACCAATTGAATTCCCTTTTTTTTGATAAATAATTTCGGAACGCATTCAAGCACATGAGCTTTTTTTCCCTTTGTATTTCTCTCTGTGTCTCTGCGCTTTGAAATGCTTGCAATCTGTGTGCTGTTGCAGTTGCATTTCGAAACAGTTTGGTTGGTTTTTGTGTTGTGCGATCGTCGGGCGTATGTGCCGCTGTATGTGTGTGTGTGTGTGTGTGTGTGTGAAAACCAATATTTTCAAAAATGAAATATTAACCGATGATTTATTTGCTATGAAATCAGCGCTTCCGTGCGGTTTGCATAAATTCAAACGGGTTTGATACATTCACCACGATCATTACACCAAAATCGATAACGCTAACGTCAAACGGATGCTGCTTTTCGAGTGCAATTTCCCATCGCATTTATAACTAAGTCACGCATAACAATGAGCGCATATCGTTTTCTATTATAGTTTCTGTATGTGTGTATGTGTGTGTTAGCTACTTTTTTTTCGTTTTTTTTTTTGTTGAACTGTATTGTTGTTGTTGTTCTATTGCTATTGTGCTATAACCAAATTGCATGAGTTTTTTTTCCTCTCTGCATTTTATTTGTTGTTGTTCCATTTTCTTTCTGGTGTGTGGTTTTTTTGATTTGGCGGTTTTTTTTTGCAATGGGAAATCATGTTAAAAACCAATGACAATTATTTTGTGTTTTTTTTTTTCTTTCTCTCCTTTACCATCCCGAACAAAAAAAAATTGTAATAGATTATTGCAAGGGCCGTGAAACACTACAAAATTTATGCGAACAAATTGCTGGCGATGCTCTGCTATACAGTCTATTCAAGGAAAATGCTGAACCAGTGAAATGTCCCCTAAGAGGTACTTCAAACAAACCGAGAGCAAAAAAACACACACACACATAACATTGATTGAATTGAATAGAGTGGAACAGAGACTAGTAACTTTTCTGTCACACTCTATTTCTCTTCATCACCGAACCAGAAGGAAAAAAACAACTATTAATATTGATGCCATTGTGCGCTTCTGCCGTTATTTTTTTTTTCAATTAAATGTTTAGGACCGTTTACATTTACATACAATCGAGGGCATGGCGAATGTAGAAACCCTGTTTCGAATATCGAAAGTTGTACCGAAGATAGCAGGCTCTTGTTGAACCTTCAAGCATGTCCCGATGTAGCTGGTACCGAAAGCACAGGTTCGTTTCTACTTTATCCTACTCTATTCTGCATATTATTCTTATATAATTCGATTTCTGACATTCTAATTCCATATTTTTATGCATATGCATTTATATATGCGATTTGATTTGCTGCAAGGCACTTGATCGCAAATGTTCAAGCAAAACTCGAAAGAAAAGTCAACCAAGTTGTCATGCAAATTATTTTTTTTTCCTTCACTTGCAGTTGAAGAGCTGACTTGCCTGGCTACATGGAAGGATGGCAACTCGCGGTATTTGGTGGGTTTGGTTTCTCATCTACATGCCGTATCGAACGAAGAGCGTTATCGATGTTTTGTTTACGAGAAAATTTTATCAAATGGTAATTGATGCGAACAGCACAAGTGTCATCGATGCAATCAAACACAATGTAATTTGTGATAACGTTCCTCTCTCTCTCTCTCTCTCTCTCTCTCTCTCTCTTTCTCTCGGCTCCTCGGCAATGCAGATGATACGTCAAAAGATGCTGAATACAAACTGGCTCAATCAGGCGATGCCACTTGTAATGGTCTTGATAGTGCTGAGGTATTTCTTTCATCCATGCGTTTTTCCCTCCACTCAAAATATTTTTTTCCCCGAGTGCTCATTATTATCGTTTGCTATCAAAATAGGTTGGGTCTCGTATAATGACACTTAGACGATCTCCACCAACCGAACGTTGTGATTTTCCAGCTTGGTTCAAAGGTCCAAAGCACTGGCACTCTTTGGCCGGCAACAATCAATATGTATATCATCAGAGGTAAATCTTGAAAACATATTTGTTGGCTTTTTTTTATCTTTTGAATTGCACAACACCAAGAACCTGGATAAATTGTGTATCAAATTTTAGTGATGGATCCATGCACATACTAAAACCAAACGGTCACATGGAAACACGAGCGCTCTGCGAACAAATCAATAAGAATGCAGCTACCGAAACTCAAGTGATTGTTCATCAAACTACTGGATGGTAAGAAAATAGTATTTTTATTTCGATTTTGTATGATTTGGGGACGAACAAAGTGTAAAAATGTTGTGAAGTGAACGAAAAACTTGATCGTCCAACAATTTTCTTTTTCATTTTGGGATTTAAGACATTCCATATCAAATGCTTAAAAAAATATATGCATTCTAATTGCAGTAAATCGGGTTATATGTGCATGATATTCTATCGCCGAGATACGCACATAGCCGAAGTTCAAATGGGTTTGCCGGCGGTGCGATTGGAAGATGCATGTACCGTTGACAATTTTGATGTCATGAAATTGCCATATGTCACTCTTGTCGGTAAGTGGACGACGTATTTTGTATTCGAACCACATTTAATGGTGTGACAAATTGTTCAATCGATGTTTTTGTGTCATTTTTTTAGCTGCAACCGTTGATCCACAAGAATGCCCCTTGAACGGTTTGTACAGTTTGCGCGGAGCAATTGGACCACCATTCATTTCATCGCGCCACAAAAGGAATCACAACAAAGGCCATCATCATCATCATGAAGCGCAGTACAAACGGTATGTTGTAGAAGTCATCTTCATGTAAACGAATTTCAATGTTGTTACACTCATTTTTCATTTTTAATCGATATTCCATTAGATATACGGCGCTGAGCTTCCGTAATCCCGAAGAATTTTCAAATCTGGATTTGCAAATGCGATCACGTATCGCTCCGTTACGGAATCGTCGAGAGGTTCGTTCGAAACGCCTTTCGAATGGCACTATCATAGAGAGTTCGAATAACATCGATGCAAACAATGATACGGCTCAAATTATCTTGCCAACGGATGATAAGCAAAATACTACAGAAATTGATATTCAACGATCGAAACGAGAAACACCCGAATGTGTCATCAATTATAATTCGGCGAGACAGTTGTTTGTCGGTTGCTCACAATCGAATGTAGTCGAAGTGAAGCCACACTGCAGCGATGATGGTGACGAAGGTATGTTGTTGTTTAGCTCTACTGGATATGAGTTAAGATAAATTCAGATTGAATACTAACTATTTGTCTTTTGTACAGTGTACAACTGTCAAGGTTCGTGGACTGAGAACACCACCACATTCATAGTGGCATTGCATTCGGGGTCGCAGCATGCCGTTTGCATTAGCTATCAACCAGTTGACGCAACAAATGTTCGATTATATGTGGGTGATTCATGCTATCGATCAATGCCATTGCAAACATCAGATCATCATCTAGCAGCTAATCTCACCGTCATCGGTAAGTTCGACGAGAAAAGATCACTCAATTTTTTTCCTTCTCAAACACCCTCCCCCACCCCCTCCTTCCCGTTTAACGAAGAAAGCGAATAAAAGCTTTTTGAATCCAGAAATTTGAAATAATTTGGTTTTTCTTCTCTCCTTTAGGAAAATGTACTGATGTTAGTTCAGCTTCCCCAACGGTCATTAACTGGAATGTTTTGCACATAACGTTACTGTTTACAATAATTGCACTCATCAGAAGTAGATGATTTAATTGAAACTAAACCAAAAATTTTACAAAACAAACGAGAAAACAAAAACAAACAAACACACTCATTTAGTCATTATACTGAAAATCATCGATATCATGAAACAAAAACAATTCGAAAACAGACTAAACAGCTACAGCAGCGCAGCTACCGCAACAAAAATATTCTCGGAGAATAATGAATCTGACGTTCTGTTGAAAACAGAAGAAAAACAAAACAAATGATAGCATTGTCCGATATTATTTAAATGACGATGAATACAGAATGTAACAAAAATGTGCATACTCATCATTTTAAGCATAAGAGAAGAAGAAGAAGAAGAAGAAGAAGAAGAAGAAGAAGAAGAAGAAGAAGAAGAAGAAAGAAAAATAGCGAAGACGGAAAATAAAACCCCGTTCCAGTGATTTGACAACAAAGACAAACTGAACTGCATTTCAGCGCAAGGCATAAATTGAAACCATTCTACATATAAACGAATTTGTGTTATGTACTCATATGGGCAGGATGACACACACACACACACACACTCTATGTATTCGAGATATAGATTTTAAACTTTGAAATCTAAACCGATTATATTATACGCATTTATTGATCGAACGCATGCTTCGAGCATCGCGAGTTCATCATCGAAGCAATCGAATAAATTCTTTCGAATTCTTAACACAACAGATCCACATCTTCATAAGGCGGATTTTTCTTTTCTTCTGAAAAGTTTCGTGATTCGTGCATGTATATAGAATTGAATGCAGTTGATAAATGAAAACCAAAAAGAAAAAAATTGCAACTTGCATCGGCTGAAATTGAAAAAGAAAAAGATGAAAAAAAATACACAACAAAACACACATTTGTTAATAAAATTCGGCTTGCACATTGATGTATAATGTGTTGGAAAATCAGCAAGCAGTTAATCTTAAAAACGATCTTGATGTTCTTGAACTGGTTGTCTCATTTTTTTATATTTTGAATAAACCGGTTTGTTTGCCTTTTTATCAAATTATTTCCAAAATGATTTTGTCATTTTTTTTTTACTTTAGAGCACGATATTTAATCAAACACTGAAAATGAAGACAAAATGATAAAAAAAAAACAAACAAAAACAACTGCAACTAATTTACGATTTGTGATTTTAATTGTCAGGTATGAGTATCGATTGTGACATAAAGAGAGATTGCCTGAAATTTTGACAAATAAAATGGAATGAAAGAAGAAGAAAATTAACACGGAAAAAAGGAGGAAAAAGAAAAGACACAAAATTTGTTCATAGGTTTCACGTTCCACGGGCATACTATTGCTAGGTGCTCATCTTGAATTCGGTTTTCAGAACAGCAACAGCAACAACAACAGAATGTAGTTAAAATGCACATGTTACTTTTATGCAAGTCGATTCAGGACAGGCTCTTCGATTCATTCGATATAGATAATTTAAAAAAAAAACTGGGATATACTGCACACCGTTTCGCCGCTTTGCTTTATAAATGATATAAGTGCTGCTTCAAAAAATGAAAAAAATAAAATAAATGAAACGTTTGTTTAAGTTACGGCCAATCTCTTATTTATCACATTGATATGAATAAAACAAAACAAAAAATGAGAGAGTCAACGATTTATCGATTCACACTATGAAAAAACAAGCGCATACAGACTGTATACTGTTGAACAGATTGCTACTGATCATGCAATTTATTTCTTTTTCTCGGTTCAGTTTCGGGGATTCTTTTCTTTTCGTTTGCAGCAATTTCACACACATTCAAACCAAAGTAATTCGTTTGTTTTTTTTTTCTCTCGTAAAAATTAAACAAACGAACAAACATCACCCAATTGAATTGATAAAAAAGAAAAGAATAAATTACTAATTTATAAGTAGATAAAACGGTTTCGAATGTTCTAACAAAGCATTATAAATGAATAAAAAGAAAATGATTATATTAAAAAAAAATGAAACAACAGAAAGATATATTGTTATTAAAAAGAATTAAATTAATTAAGAATAAGTTTCACTACTACTTATCTCCGTCTTCTAAGTATCGCAATAACAACAACAGTGAAATGAATGAAGTTATGCATAACATTGATTCGTTAAACGAACCATATACGATAATGCATTTTCAATGTAAATTTCATTTCGGTCTCTTTCTCGAGAGACAATTTTCTTGGTTGGTTTTTTTTTCTTCTAATTTATGCGCCCGATTTTCCTTTTCTCACTATTTTTCAATCTCTTGTCGTCAACACAAAATGCATTTCGTTATTTCTTTTGAGTTTCCGTTGACAAAGACACATACACATTTCAAATCATCGAATTTCATGCATAATTTCATGATAGTCCAATTGAATAATTCAATATTATTCAAAAAAAGAAGAAGAAAAAGAAAGAAAGAAATAACAAACAGAAGAAAACAAAACATTTCCAATTTCTCCCTCTGGCAACTGTAGATATATACATATAAATATATTATAAAATACCGTTCACTCTTTTAACAGCACACTCAATTTCGGTATGAGCATCACACACAATTTTTCAACATCATTCAACTGGATTGAACGAAAATAAAAAAAAGTGAACATACAGCAAATTAAAAAACGGACATTAGTTTTGGAATGCGTATATATGACATTGACACCCAAAATTTAATGTTCGTTTTACAAATTTCACAAAATGCATTCAGCATCTATAAATTAGATATGTATTCCTTCAGATTTTCCCTTTGATTTCCATATTCTCGCTAAACAAAACAAAAAAAATTAATGGTGTTTCTAGATTATGTCCATTCAAATGAATGGGACATAATTTGAACAAGTAAAATAGAGAAGCAGCATCTTCGCAAAAGAGTGATAGATAGAGAGAGAGAGAAAGAGAGGGGAAGAGAAATGAATGGGAAATTCGTCAAATAAAATCGTGTTATTTAACAGAAAAGTACATAGATTAAAACATAGGCAAAATTGATTGCAACGAAAACATTACAGTGATGGACTTGAATGAACTTATGACCTCAACCACTCTATTGCACAAATTAAACAAAATACAAGAATATTACTATATTATAAATTATATTATTTTTGCGAATAAATGCAACCACAACAGCAAACAGCAACAACAAACAAATGCAACTAATGAAATGAGAATGAAATTAAAAAAAAAATATGAAAAGACAAATGAGATGAGTCAATATTGTTTTTTTTTTCTCTCTGTGTAAATAAACTGACAAATGTAGGTAATAAACAAATATTGCTATGCTGCACTCACAGTGGCGGTGCTAGTTTTTGGACGCAGCCTAGCAATAATCCGTAATTTAATTAAGTTATTTATCAACAACAACAACAACAACAACAAACAACAAATATATTTTTCTTTATTATTGTGCATTTTACTAAATAAAAACGAATAAAAAAAGAACACAACACAAAACAAAAAATGGTGAAAAGAACGATTGAAATGGATAGATTCAAATTTCGACGAAGTGATAGCGAATTAATTTCTGCACAAATTTTTTATGTATCGCGCCAATGAATTTTTATATTTCATTCGATATTTCTTTCATTTACGTCGTAATTTTATGTTGAAACATTTGTTTTTTTTTTCTTCTTTCGATCGGTTGTAACAGTGCATTTTTTTGGTTCATATTTTATTTGAAAAAAGAAAATCTCAATATGACACAAGCACAAAACGGCACGAAATCCCAATGTGAATTCGATTGAGTGGATTGAAATGTTTCCCGTTGACGAATCAAATCGAACAAAAATATATTAATCGAAATAAATATTGAATCGATTTCAAATCCGGATGGTTTGGTTTTTGCTTGGTATCATTTAATTATTATTGATAAGTGATGACAACAAAATGAAACCGCAACAACAACAACAAAATCACACACATACAACACATGTACGAACAGTTCTTTTTTATATGTTTCAAATATACAAAAAAATCCTCACGTATTTGTATTAGAAATAATAAATGAAAAAAAACTTTATTAATTAATAAAAACGAGAAATCAAATGAATTCAGTGCGTGTTTTTCTGTTTTTTTTTATTTATTTCACTCAAACTACCAGTCTCTTTGAATCTCATTTTGTCAGGAATTTATCAACATACAATTCTTGTATGGACAGTTGAACAATCGGAACGATTGAAATTTAAGCTTTAACCCGCAGAGATCATTGTTACGTGGCATTTTGATGAAGATTTATTTACAAAAAAATTGCTGTACATTTTCACGTTTCAGGGGATAAGTTAATGTTCATGCTTATTAGAATACATCGGCCCATCACAAACACACCCATCGACTATTTAGGCGACTTGGTTCAATGGGTTTTGTGGTGATTTCGTCCATTCCTTGAATAATATTTGTTTCCATTGAGATAATCGCATCGATGGGTTTTCCGCCTTGATTCGTGGTAGATTTTCGGCTTCATATGCTTTGAAAGCAGCTTTCAGTCGTTTCTCAGGATGCTTGTCGGCGGCACCCTCTGCCATGCTATGGAATAAAATACAAGTGTTTTATGATTCGATCGCCTAATGATTTTTCAAACATTTTCTAATTTTTCAACATATTTGTTTAATTCAAATACAAACCTGAGTGCTTTGATCGCCTCATCGATTCCAGACGCTTCGATTGCGTCCGGGTCCAGTCTATTCAAGTTTTCAATAAGCGGCTCATCACTAACAAGTTTTGTCTCCTTTTCCTTAAAAGAACATGCAGAATAAGATTAGAATTATGTTCATTTGTGGTCAATCTCATTCGATGGGCAATTGAAAATCGTATACAATTGTAGAACTTACGGGCTCTTTGTTCGATTTATAAATATTTTCGACAACCTTTTGGCGACGTTCGTTTTCGGCATTGATTTGAGCTTGTGTAACCTTTTGAATCGATGGTTTTCCAGCCGTTTTTATCGATAACATCTCTTGTTCTAGCATCGCTTTATTTTCCGCTTTGCGTCGCAGCAATTCGGCTTTCTTTCGGTCTTCCTCCTCTTTTCGGCTTTTCTTCTTGGCCAGTTGTTTGTCCTCATCAGCCCATAATGCATCTTCAGCTGCTTTTGCAGCTTTGGCTTGAGTCTCTTTCTTTTGCATCGCTTTACGCTCTCGGGATTCCACCGCTTTTGAATTGATTCCCATCTTTTTCGGCATGGTTGACGGTTTCTTTTTTTCTTTAAATCAAAAACTCCCTATGCTCTGTTGTACAAAAAAAAATTCATTTGTGTTTTCTAAATGATAGAACTAACTTACAGTCAATGACACCTGTCAAAATTTGGCATTTTCCTTTTGCTTTTCTAGAAGGTTTGCCATATTGATGCCAATACAAAGGCTATTTACCATGGTCATTATCTCTTTGCATTTTCAGCCATAATGACTGACGTACAGTGTAATTTGATAGTGGATTTACAGAACATGAAGAAAATGCATTTGGCTCAAATTTTAAAATTAATACGAATTAAATGGAAATAGAATGAACAAACAATTGTAGCGTCATCTCTTGTTGGGAAACGATAACATTTTGATGTTGCATTGAACGTATTCACCACCATATGTACGATAATTATGGGTTGTTCAATGAACATAAATTTAACAATGTTCACTGTTAAAGGTAACGAATCGCAGACTTAAACCCATGTAGAATAGAAATAACTGGTGCCTCCACATGGTTTGTGCTATTCGCTAACCTCGTACCGTCTCGAAAATAGCATTTTCAAGTGCATTTTCTATGAATTACAAAAGAGGTTTGTTTCAACTGATTAATTTGAACAAACACTTCAGTTACAAGAATCATCGTCAATAGCAGTAGGCAAGGCCAAACAATATAAATATCGAGATTTTGAGTTTTCAATGGAAGAGCTTAATAAACGTTTATTTTTAATAATAAAATGTAAAAATTGTTCAGTCCGATATACGTAGGTTGGATTTAGAGCTATGTGCGCCACAGCGCAAAAAATTTGAAACATTAAAAGAAATCAAAGAGCAAAAAAAAAATGAGTAAATAACAAAAAGTTGTGTGAAGTTTTTGCAACATTTTTGTTTTTTCGTTTTCGTTTCATTCAAATGGAGGAATGTGCGCAAAACAAATAAAACGGCACACAAATTAAAGCGATTTTGCAATAACTTGCGTTTGAGTATATGGCATTGCGCACTCATCTAGTGTGTGTGTGTGTGTATATTATAACGTGGTGAAGCGGCCGCTTCTCTTTCCATCCACGTATTTTAATTAACGAATAAGTTGATGAAGGTACGAACTAATCGGCCGATTATCAAAAATATTTCTCTTAAACTGTGAAGCATTTTATATTGAGAGTGTCCAATTATCGGGCGAAGTGTATAGCAGCAGCGGCGGCGGCGGCAGTTGCATTTGAATCGTGCAATTTAAAAGGTGCACGTATGCCTAAGTGGTTATCCATAAAGTGATTGCATACGGAAATCAAGTTTTCTTTTCGTTTCTTTTTTCGCATTGCTTTCTTAAAGGCTATTGACATTTCAAAGACCCCATATTTGTTCCTGCTTCAATAATTATTTCATGTGTTCTCTCTCTCTCTCTCTCTCTCTCTTGCTCGGCTTTTTGCATATGAAAATTATAATTGCATTCGACATGTGTTTGTGCATGGTATATGTATATGAAAAAAAAATGTGCCGTTCATTTTTCCACATTTGGGCTTCGGCTATGTAAACTGCGCTCTCGTTCTCTTTGCGTAAGCGTATCGGAATTGCAAACCGGCGCACATACACAACATTTGGTTGTTACAAGAAACATTTTAATTTCGATCCAAATGTTTGCGTTGTGGCTCTTTTCGTCTGCCCCCTTTATACTTTTATACATCATACGTATATTTTTTTACTTCTTCTTTTTTTTTATTTCAAAGCAACATTTATCGTCTCCTTGTATCACTACATGATAATGATTACAAATTCGAAGGAAAGGAAATTATCTGACTTGGACGAAGTGCTCAGCATTGCCATTGCAATGCAAATGAAATTGCCCAGAATAATTACTGGTGGAGAGATGCAACAGCAGCAGCAGTAACCGCCGCAGCAGGAAAAAGAAACACGAGAGAGAGAGAGAGAGAGATGTATGGCAAACGACATGCAAAACGCCGCTAATCTCACCACATGCACCAACGGCATTGAAACTTATTGCTCTCAGGCCAGGCCAACACGAATACAAATGCCGATGCAAAAGTCATAAATAACAATTAATAGAAATCATAGGTGCATCATTTGCCGTCTAACGGAACACATTTGTTTACTCACTCACTCTTCTTCTCTCTGTGTGTGTCTCTCTCTTTCTCTTTCTCATACATGAAACTATTATAATAATTATGTGTATTGTTTATGCATAAAAAACATGCGGGATGAATTTGAATATCCATCTATTATTCGACTCTTCAGATTTCTGAAAAAATCCGACGACGAAATAAAAAAAAAAATCTTGTCTGCGAAGTAAAAATGAAGAGATTTTTACATTAACGAGATGTGGATAAAAAGATATGAATAGCGAGGCATAAGAACGGCTAAAAAGTCCAACTGAAAAAAATGTCTGTCAAGGGAAAAGAGTTCAATTTAATGATTCTTTTTTCTTCTTCTTGTTCTCTCATTCCTTCGTTGCTTTGCCGTTTTCACGTTTCGTTCCATCTTAAATCACACTAATTTCATGTATATTGTTAGCGAGATGTGAGCTCTGTAAAAGTATTGAATAACATACACCCTTTCGTCAACGCCGTGCTATCATCGCACACAAGAGAATGATTAATTCATGCTTAAGAGCTTTTTTCCCTTCTTTGGTTAGTAATTAGTTTGAATTTGCTTATGCATGCATATTACGTGTCGCAGTGCTCATGTTGTACCGTTGTCGTTGTCCTCGACTAGAGAGGAGAGCAATATGGAAAGCAGAAAAAAAGAATACGGCTGATGTCTGATCTCTGACTGCCGTCTTTATGTGCTGTAAACAACGTTTTTTTTATTTCTTCCTTCAGAAATCGTCGTGAAACAGCCGAAAGTATCGCCATATATACATATATGGAAAACAATACACGAATATTTCCGTTTTTCGCCATAATAATTTAGCAGATGGGACTATTGAAATACAGAAGAGCTGCTTTTGCAAAAAAAAAGTTACACATGAAAATTTCTTTGTTTGAGGTTTTTGCCGCACAAAGGACGAAACGGGAGTGTGAGAGAGAGAGTGAGAGAGAGAGAGAGGACGAGAGAAGAAAAAAAAACGAAAGTGCCTGTTCAATGCAATTTTTTTTTGTTCAAACATCATACTTGTTAGCATAAACACATAGAATTGTGCATAAGAGCACAAAAGATCCTGTACGATCTGAGTAGTACACAGAGGTTTGCCGAATGCCGAATTTTCACATTTACTTTCTCGACAAGCGACTGCATTGTTCGGCGCGTAAAGGCGCCGAACACACACCGAAAAATCGTCATCAGAGAGAAAGAGAGAGAGAGAGCTCATTCACGAAAAAAAAAATATTTTTTATGCAAACGAGAAATAACAGTTCTATTTTTCAAACAACAATCAACCCAAACCGCTTCCGATGCAAAACTTACATCCATAAGTCATGGTTGAACGGCTGAATCCTGATCAATTCTAACTGCACTCAACTCTTTCACTCTCCTATGCGTGAACGAATATACATACAAACAAACATACAAATTGAAACAATATCCTCGTCGTACATCGTATTTTATGCCTGATAATTGCAGGCAATGTACAAAACATAAGCCTGCGTACTTCCAGCGAATCACGTTCGATGCACCATCTATCTATCTATCTATCTACGGTGCATATTTTTCTCTCAATAATTTGCATTTTCATATTTCGCCAAGCTCCATTTGATACCTTATGCCGGGTAATAAAAAAATAGTTTCGGTTCGATATATGTATATATCCTGCTACCGTGTACCAATGCCAATCCCATTCAAACTTCTCCAGACCTAATTCTATCTCACAATGTTCTCGATCAATGTGCCCTCAAAATGATATGCGGAAAATCGAAGCCCAAAAACATTAATAATTTTACCTTTTTTTTCCCGATAATTTATTCGCATTATCATTTGATTTTTTTTTTCCCATTTCAATCACTACATTACACACATTTGAATAACAATAGACGATCGACACACACACGGAACAAAAATCGCATAAAATGCATTTGTATACGTGTTATGGGCTTTTATTCATCTTTGAAAAGGTTACATAATAGTTTCATTAGGAGTAACCCCTTAACATTGCTTAACTTAAGATAAACGAGTTTAACTTAACGTTGTTTTTTCGTCCCGATGCAATAAAAATGCAACAACAACAATGCACAATACACAGAGACACCAACCAATCTCTGAATCTAATGCACGACAATATACACGTAGATGTGTACACAGATGCCACTGTGCTAACACATCACGGCGCACATCTCTCTCTCACACACACACACACTCGACGCAACAGAAAACACAGAACCACTCTTACACACAATGAATGCATCAAATCGACATACACACAAAAAAAAAAACAACAAAACACCGCACTAAAGGTACAAATGTAAAAAGGCAACATATTGATGTGAACGGGATGTGAAACAAAAAGCAAAACAACGCACATACAAAAAAATTCACTGCAGAAAAAACCTCTAACCCTTTCTTGTACCCCATAGAGATATTTAATTTATTCATTTTTCTTATTCAGGAAAAAAAAAGAATTATTAATGCGTGTTTGTTATACGTACGGATGGATGGATACCTTATTTTAATATATGCAAAACGGTAAAAAACGGATGTTCAAGTTTACTTTCATTCTACGGCCACTTCTTCTTCTTTCTCCTTTTTTTTTGTCATTTATTTTATATTCAAATGCAAACCGGAATTCTATACTCTTTGCATTCAATCCTGACATTCGAACAACACAACCAAATGGTGGTATGTGTAATCAAATAAAACAATTTAATGAAACATAGAGATATTCCAGCATATTCTATTTCCCTTCCATTTTCTGAGCTTCAGCCGATCGTTGTGTGTTGAGGACACAACACACACAAGTCATGTATGGCACTATTTATGCCACTAAAATTAGTCACTTCGCGCTTCTTGTGAAAGTAAAAGTGAGCGAAGAACAACTTGAAAACGAAGTTTAACGAGGTTCGTCCTTTTACCGGTGTCGCTTGGAAAATAAATTTCGAATTCATACACTTCGACAACGAGAACGAGCAACGAGCTGAGGCATTTCAAGGAAAATATGTCTCGAACGGCAAACGAACCGAGCAATTTTCGCAAAGTGAATTGCGACGCTTGGTTTTTAAAGGTTTTTTTTT